CTGGAGAAGGGTAGGCTGCCCACTCCAGTATTCTTGGGATTCCCTGGTGGCTCAGACAATAAAGAATCCTCTTGCAATTCGGCAGACCTGGGTTCAATCCCTGGGTTGGGAAGATCCCCTGGAGGAGGGCATGGCAACCTACTCCAGTATTCTTGCCTGGAGAATCCCCATGGACAGAGGAACCTGGCGGGCTACAGTACATGGTGTCACAAAGAGTCGGACACAACTGACTTAGCACGGCACACATGACTACAATAATTTTGACGTTTCTTAGTTCAGTTCAGTTGCTCAGTCGTGTCTGACTCTTTGCGACCCCATGAACTGCAGCACGCCAGGCTTCCCTGTCCATCACCAACTCCTGGAGTTTACTCAAACTCATGCCCATCAAGTCAGTGATGCCATCCAGCCATCTCATCCTCTGTCGTCCCCTTCTCCTCCTGCCCCCAATCCCTCCCAGCATCAGGGTCTTTTCCAATGAGTCAACTCTTCACATGAGGTGACCAAAGTTCTGGAGTTTCTGCGACATTCCAGTTTTTAAATTGTCTTCCTAACTATGTGCACACTTGTCAGGCCACGGGTTCTGATTTGGAGCATGGAAAACATACTCTAACAGTGTGAGGTTGGTGATTTTGACACAGCTTACCCAATCTTGTATTTGCTTTTCTTTGGTCTCCATGTTCTTGTCAACACATCTGGGTTAACATGAGGTAAAAGCTTTAAACAAGCTGTAGCAGAAAATGCCTGACCCCATGATGGGGCAAAATGAAGCAGGTTCAGGGCTCAAAAAGAATTTACTCACAGGCTGCCAATAAGGGGTGGATGAAAAGGGAACTACTTACAGATCCTGGGGGGGACAATGAAAGCATGTTTACAACACGGAAACAGAAATAGAAGTGCGAGAGGAGAGAGGAGTGCCCCTAAGTGGTACCAAGAGGTCAGCTCACTTCCAGTTTTTGAGGCTCTTTGTTTACAGAAGAATGAAGAATTCAGTTCTTCATTCAATATTTAACAATTTCTTTTTACACCCCCATGGTTAAAATACCATGTAAATGTGTCATTACAAGATGACTAGATTTATTACAAGTCAACTAATAAAACTTCAATGAGATACCACCACATAATTCTTAGAACAACTAAAAATGGAATTGAAAACAAAACTGATCATACCAAGTTGTCAGGAGCCTGGGGAGTAAATGGAAATCTCATACTTTGCTCATGGGCATGCAGAATGTAGTCACTCTAGGAAAAAGTTGGGCAGTTTCTTATAAAATGAAATATCTACTCACCAGACAACCCAGGTATCTCACTCTGTCCATGAAATTCTCTAGGCAAGAATACTGGAGTGGGTTGCCATGCCCTCCTCCAGGGGATCCTCCCACTCCAGAGATCGAACCCAGGTCTCCCGCACTGCAGGCGGATTCGTTACCATTACCATCTGAGCTACCAGGAAGCGCCCATTATGAAATACTTGTTAGCAACAGAAAGGAATGAATTGAAAGAAACCCTGGCCAAATATTTTTTAAAAATGGTACCAGGACTATATAATGGGGAAAAGATAGTCTCTTCAATAAATGGTGTTGGGAAAACTGGATATCTACCTGCAAAAGAATGAAATTAGACCCTTACCTTATGTCATATACAAATATTTTCACGATTGTGGTTGTTGTTACATGACTGTATGTGTTAGTTAAAAATCAGAAAACTGTAAACTAAAAACACTGTACACTGATGCATGAGAAAACCTGTATATAAAAAACTGCATATAAATTATTGCTCAATAAAACTGCCTAAAGGACTATGTGGGAGAAGGTGAGGGTGGGATGATTTGAGAGAATGGCACTGAAACATGTATATTACCATATGTAAAATAGATGACCAGTGCAAGTTTTTGATGATGCTGGGCACTCAAAACCAGTGCTCTGGGACAACCCAGAGGGATGGTGTGGGGAGGGAGGTGGGAGGAGAGTTCAGGATGGGGGAACACATGTGCACCTGTGGTTGATTCATGTTGATGTATGGAAAAAACCGCCATAATATTGTAAAGTAATTATCCCCCAATTAAAATTAATTAATTAAAAAACAACTTGATAAAAAGAAATGTGGAGTAAATGTGGGAAAATGTCAAATCTGAACTTGGTGCAGTGTATAGTGGTCTTTTTTGTGATTAAAATGTTTTATTGTGATTGAAATGTTTTTATTATGATTGAAATGTTTCAATCTGAAAAAATTTAAAGGTATTCTTAAAAAGCCAATTAGTTTATTCAAACTGCAGTATGGTCCAATGATAGGATGCAAGTTTACAGTTGTCAGGTAAACAAAGAATTATTTCATTTTTGTCAGTGTATGTCTGTGACTGTATTTATTATTTCATTTTCAGAAAATGTCAAACTTGTAAATTTGAGACCTTTCAAGAATGTGAAGCCTGCTCAAACAGCACTCTGCCCCCATAATGTTTCAGAAAACATTTGAAGAATAAGAATAGTATCTGGTGGTTGACAAGGCATGTGGGAAATGGGAGGAGAATAGAAGTGGGATTTCTTTTCTTCTGGATGATTTAGAAATGAAGTACTTGAGCTGTTCACTTCAGTCAAAAATGATAGAGTAAGTCCTTTGTCCTCCTACAGCCTTGATCTTGTGTTGTTCTAAGAAATCCCTTTATAAAGATTAATGATTCTGCACCCCTATTTGTAAAATATTTGGCTCAGATGAATAAAGATGGGTGGATATACTTAATATAGGCAAAAATGGATACTTAATTTTAGACAGATTAGCAGCCATGACTTTAGCAAAAATAATGAGTCGATTCACCCCAAACCACACCAAAGACCAAGATAGAGGGATTATCACTGCTACATGAATTCAGCCTCAGCTATTTTCCCATTGAGCTACTCCTGTCTTTGTTTTCTCAGGCTTCTCATATGTGGCAGCTTCCAAGTGCAGAATTCCAAAAAGCTGAAATTGTCTTCAATCCTCCCAACATTGGCACAGACTATAAGGAATCGAGAATGCCAATAATCCTAGGAAAACAGATGGACATTTAAAATCACAAACATTTATGCACAACCCAAATGCTGCAGTTTTGGACAAAATATGGAAATAGATCTTGGCCCTTCTTTGTGTCCTTCTATCTTAATGAGGGAACCTGCCAAGACTATGGGAAAAAGGAGGGACAAAGGATCCTTCAGGTTGAAAGATGAAAAACAACAACAACAACAAAAAAAACCTGGCAGAAATGGGTCACCTGTGAAATGAAAAGTTTCAGTGTTTCCAAGGTTGGCAAAATGCATGTAAGTTGATGCAACCCTCATTTTGACTGTGTAAGATGTCATAAAATTACTTCTGGACCACCTATAGAGTGTTTTCGTTTGAAAGGGGGTGGTGAGATCATTTCCCAAACCATACACACAAAAATGTTAGAACTGAAGGGCACTTTATCAAAATTTAATCCAACAGCCTAAAAGTTCAAAGCAGAAAATAGGACAATGTGATTGACAGATATTAAGGAATAGAAAAGAAAGTGGAGATGTGGAAGTCAAGAGAAGATTTAAAAACAAGTCATCCTGGATTTAGAAGTTATAAGATGAAGATTTGGAAAATATAATTTTTTTAAAGGGAAGTGTTGGTACTTCCCTGGTGGTCCAGTAGTTAAGACTCTGCTTCCAAATGCAGAGGGCATGGGCTTGATTCCTGGCAGAGGAGGTAAGATCTCACATGCCAAGTGGCATGGCCAAAAAAACAAAGAAGCATTACATCAGTTTACCTCAGTTATTAAAATTGGTCCAGAATTTCAGTTCAGTTCAGTTCAGTTGCTCAGTCATGTCTGACTCTTTGCATCCCCATGCACTGCAGCACGCCAGGCTTCCCTGTCTATCACCAACTCCCAGAGCTTACTCAAACTCATGTCCATTGAGTTGGTGATGCCATCCAACCATCTCATCCTCTGTCATCCCCTTCTTGTCCTGCCTTCAGTCTTACCCAGCATCAGGGGCTTTTCCAGTGAGTCAGTTCTTTGCATGAGGTGGCCAAAGTATTGGAGTTTCAGCTTCAGCATCAGTCCTTCTGATGAATATTCAGGACTGATTTCCTTTAGGATGGACTGGTTGGATCTCCTTGCAGTCCAAGGGACTCTCAAGAGTCTTCTCCAACACCACAGTTCAAAAGCATCAATTCAGAATTTCAGGTAGTTGTTAAAGCAATACTCTGTAGGAATGAATTGGAAATATCTGTATTACACATTTGATCCAGTTATATTTTAGATACTTTCTCTGGAATGTCATAGGAAGGTATTAAAGATGTCATTTTGATGATTTAGCTTTGCTATTAATATATAAATTTAATAACCTAGGTATATATATTGTTTTAGCATTCTTCTGAATTGGAAAATGTGTTTCTTGAGTAATTACCATGATATGTTTAAGTATTTTCACATTCACTTCTGAATTGTAAGTGGATGAAGTATCAAAGGTATAATAACCAACATCCCTGGTCTGGAATACTTCTATAAATAACAGCAGTTTAGAACTGAGGGGCTTCAGTGAGTCTTGCAGTCTTCAAGCCCCTTTGTACAGATAAAGTAGATTTGCTTTGTTTTTTTCTTTTAAGACCTATAAATCATTCTATTTAATTTTTGTCATTTTTTTGTCTGTAAAAAGGTTATTAAGTGTTCATCTGTTCCCCTCATCACAATCACAACACAGCGACCAGAAGTTATCTGGCGACCTCCTGGTATACAACCCTTAGAGGTAGATACCATTCCTGACATAAAACCGTAGCTCAGAGATCCTAAGGGGACTAAAAGCATATCGGTAAAGCAAGTGTGGACAGATATGAGATAGAGAAAAATTCAAGGACAGTGATATGATCTCTGTGCTTCAAAAAACCCTATTTAGTAGCTTTAGGAGAGTGGGTGCCAAGATTTCTGTTCCCAGCCGCCGCGGTTGCTAGGTAACGCGCGGTCTCCTAGCCACCCAGCCACTGGCCGCTCGGCCTGAGGCTGAGCGATGGGGCCGCGGGCCCTTCCGCGGCTCCTGCTCGTTCTTCTAGACTGCTGGGCCTCCGTAAGCGCCCAGGCCGGGACAACCCTGGTGGTAACGACGGAGGGCCTCAACTCTACCAAACCAGTCCCGACGACTCTCCGACCTGTTTTATCTTCTAAGCCCCCTGAGACCCCCAGGGCTTCCAGGCCCTTCTCCGGCCCCAGACCCGCCCCGGTCACGGACGGTGGGTAACCAAGTACCAGTTCCTGGGGATCTACAGTGGTCCAACCTGCGGGGGTGGTAACCCGGGTGAGGATGTAATAATAACGGCAGTTAACGCTTATTGACCACTTAGAGTGTGCAGTCATTGCTGAGTGTTTCGTAGGTGTTAATTCTCTCAACAGCCCTTAGAGGTAGATGTTATTATCCCTGTCATACAGATGAGAAAACCGAAGCTCAGATAGCCAAGTGGGACAATATAAAAATCTTTAGAAGTACTTGCAGTGGTCCTGGACGACACTGATGCCAAAAGTGTTAATGAATGAATACTTGTTTGCAGCTTTTCAGTTGAAATTGAAAGTTTCTAGGCAATTGTGGGAATTAAGTGCATAGGATACGTTGAGCTTTTCAACTATGTAAAAGAGACGTAGAAAATCTAGTTTACAGAAAATGACTAGGTCAACTCCTCCTGTGTTGAGTTGAAGGTAGGGAGTTATGGGGTGAGGGGTTATGCCCACTTCTTAAGATTCATCTTTAAGGGTAATTAGTATATTTCTCAGAAAATGATCTAATCCTTGAGTTACACAGCTAGTGACTTTTGTAATCTGATTTAACATGGATGACTTCAGGGGATATCTGACTCCAAAATCGAGTGCTAACTTTTGTGACTATGCATTTTTCTGGAGTGAAGGTTCATAGCAGTGAGTAGTTTGACAAGTGGGTTTGTGATCTCCAAAAAGAAAAAATCCCTTTTAAGTCCTCTGTAACCCAGTAGATATGCAGTGTTGTTTTTTTATCCCTTCTTAAGAAAGACCTTTCTTAATTGAGTCAGGCTTAGTATTAGTAAATAAAAAAATCATCATTGGCTGACCTTCTGAACTCTAGGACTTAAGTTACTGAACCATTATTTCTCCTTTATAAACTGTGTAGTCTGTCAGAAAAAATACAGAGAAACATATTTGCTATTTTAATATAAAAACTTTGTTTTATATTGAAATTGTTGATTTGATTTAGCAGGGAAGTTAACTGATAGTTTGGGGCAGAATATAGCAGAGTATTCAATATCTGAAATTCTCTTAAGATTTTTTGGGCTGAGTTGCCTTTTATCCATGTAAGTATTTCATTTGTTAATGCACTTTATCCCCCAAATGAAGCTATTCTTGAACCATCATTAATAGGTCGTGTGTTCAGGGCTGTTTTTGCAGTATGGGAGGATGAATTTGCACTTTTCCTTTGTCTTTTTAAAGGGCCTCTGGTTAGATCTGTGCAAGTAATGGTAATAAATGACAGCTGACATTTATTAACTGCTTCCTATGTAGCAAGCCCTGTGCTAAGGATTTCATCTGCAGTGTGTCTCATCTAATCCTCATAACAGTCTTATGATGTTAGGTTGTCACCATTTTTCTTTAACTTGTTGTTTTGGCTGCATTCGCAGCATGTAGGAACTTAGAACCCATGCCTCCTGCATTGGAAGGTAGAGTCTTAACCTCTGGACTACCAGGGAAGTCCCTGGGTTATTGCCATTTTTTAGGTTCGTGAATTACTTGCCTCATTTTAGGTCACACCCTAGGTACAGGTTGTAGCAGGAGACTGACTCTGAGTGGAGAACTAGACCACCCTTTGCAGAATGGGTTACAGGTCCAAGAGAAGGACGATAACTTTCATCTTGAATCTGAGCTCTCTTCATTAGTACCCTGTAGCTGTGAAGAGGCTTGGAAGAGCAGCTGAGTGCTCCTCAGACCCAGCGAGTACTCAGCGGATACTTGTTGGCTGATTAAGTACACTCATCTTGGATAGAGACCCTTTTTTCTTTCCTAAGTATAGTTATTAAATACTATTGCTTTGTCCCTAGTAGTCTCACAGCTACTAGGGATCTATAAGAGTTTTAAGTTTTGTAAAACAAATCAAGATTAATTTCAAACACATAAGGCAGGGTGTCTCAACACTGTTTTTTACATTAGTGTACATGAGAGGTATTATAATTTTCTAAGGACACAAGGGAGTCCTTGGCTAGAGAGAAACATGTAAACTCTAGGGGGGAAACTTTTGTGTCTCTAAGAATGGATTGTGTATTCACTGACCAAAATTTCCTCTTCTCCTGACATTCATCTTCCCAGAGTTTATTATTGTACCTTTTTTGAGGTATATATTTTCTAAAGTTGTTTTTTTTTTTTTTTTTTTTTTTTTTGCCACACCTCGAAGACTGGAGTCTTGAGTTCCCTGACCCGGGATTGAACCTGCCTTGGTAGTGAGCACTGAGTGCTTATCACTGGACTGCCAGGGAATTCCTTCTAAAGCTCATTTTTATTAAAATAATTCATAAATGCTAATAAGAATGTTGTACGGATTGTCCACCAGCATTTGCTTGAGATTCCTTTTTAAATTTTATTTTTTGCATGAAATCCTTTTTCAAAAAAAGAAACGACGTTACAGGTAAGGTTGAAGCACTGATCTTATTCCCTCCTTTCAGCAATAATTAAACTACCATGAGTTCAGTGTTTATCATTCTCATGCGCTGCTATTTAAGTTTCCCCTCACCTCCACACCTCCCCGTTTGACAGCCTGAAATAGAGAATTAAAAATCCAGATGGTCATCATTATTAAAAATTAAAACTTGATAAGTGGGGCTTCCTACCTCTTCCCATGTTTTTACTCTGTGAATTACCAAAGATATTTCTAGAACCCCAAGTACAAGGAACGTGAGCCAGCTTGATTCTTGGCCAGTAGCCTGTGAACATGGACTCAGCGTCAAAGCTGCAGGTGACATCTGAGGAGAGGAACAAAATTGAGAACTTTGATTCTTAGTAGCCTTAAGTGGGCCCTTCCTCTGAATTGGAATCTCCAGAGGAGCTTAGAAATCTGCAATATTAAACCGATGGTTCTTAGGTCAGGCAAGTGATTTACCGTGTTGATTCTTTTTTTTTTCCTTCGTGTTGATTCTTAAACCTATTTTAATTATCAGCATCACCTGGAAAGTGTTTGAAAAGCCCAGGTGTCTGGGTTTCACAGTTAGCTTACCAAATCAGAGTCTTTGTAGGGAGAGTGCAAACAGAACTTTTCAAGTGAGTCAGATGATTGGCCAATTTGGGAAAACCTCGGATGGAGAAGTGCTCAAACTGACTCATTTCACTTCACAGACTTCCCCCAAAGTGCAGTAGGAAGAATAAAACGGACCTTTGTATGAGATGGATTTTTGGTACTTTGCAGTGGCAGGGGGCAGTCACTACCTGCAGATTGTAACGCTCCCCCACCTCTCTCGTTTCTGTAGTTGCTGCTCTGTGTGTCTGTGACTTGTCTCCAGCGCAGTGTGACGTCAACTGCTGTTGTGATCCTGATTGCAGCTCCGTGGATTTTAGTGTCTTTTCTGCCTGCTCAATTCCAGTTGTCACGTAAGTTTGTAACATGAAGTTTTGATAGAATTGGACCGAGATTATAAAATTTGGGGACAGAAAGTGAAAACACCCCCAGGCTGAGAAAACCCAAATCAACCCAGGCTGATTTCCTGAATTCTGCATCATTCAGAAGCCATGCTGTCAAAATCAATATATTGAAGAGTTGTTGCTATTCAGTTGCTAAGTCGTGTCCAGCTCTTTATTGACTGAGCCGCCAGGGAAGCCCTCGTGTCTAACTCTTTTGCGACCCCATGGACTGTAGCCCGCCAGGCTCCTCTCTGTGGGATTTCCCAGGCAAGAATACTGGAGTGGGTTGCCATTTCCTTCTCCAGGGATCAAACTCCTGCATCAGCGGATGGGTTCTTTACCACTGAGCCACCTGGGAAGCCTCTGTAGAACAGTATCTATGCCTTATTTGCATCCAGCTAGATGATAGTGCAGGCAAAAGAGAAGTGAGAGTGTACTTTTCACAAAGATTATAATGAAATCTCTGTGTTCAAAGATTGAATTATGTTTCACTTTGATTTGTAAACAAATAAGGTGTCACATTTTTGTATCTGTGAATTAGTCTCATGTATAGCCTAGGGTGAAAAGTGTAGTTTAATTTTACAGCTTTTGTTGTAGACATTGTTTTCTAAAGAAAATTAGAAAGGAAAGCTTCATTTATACCTTTCTAGTGATGAATCTGCCAGGAATTCTCACAGTTCACATTGTGTAGGAGAATAATGGAAAATGACATTCCCAGTCGATTGCAAGATAAACAGTTTCTTCTGAGTTACCTGGTTCTCGTAATTCTGATTTCAAAGCTTTTTGATAAAATAATAGCACTTATAAGAAGTTAATTTATTCAGGATGGGACCAATTTATTATTCAGAGATAGCCAATTTAAATTCAGTCTTGTATGAAGTTTTAGCAGTTGAAATTTGATAGGTTGAATGCTTTTTGGAAGTGTGTTTTTCCCATGAGAAACTATTTTATTGACCAATGGGAAATCCAGTCTACTTCCGATGTTGTTAAAATGCCTGGAGCATGGGGTGTTGTAGTCAGATTATTTTTCTGGCTACCTGAACTACACTATGGTTCAGTCTTTGTTGAAAATCATTCTATTTTCCTGCATTAGTAAGTTCCGGGAGCTTGAGAGTGAGATATCTGTTCTGATTTGTGATCGTTATTTAGAATGTAGTTCTTTAAAAAAAAATAGCCAATACTGTAATTTTAGATATAGACTATTTAGAATGGGGGTCAGCCAACTTTTTCTGTAAAAGGCCACATAATAAACGCTTGAAGCTCTTCAGGCTGTGTGGGCTCTGTTGCAGCTTTTCAACTCTGCTATTGTTGAACAAAAGCAGGCATGTAATGAATGGGCGTGACTACATTTCAGTAAAACTTATTTATAAGATTAGGTGTGGTTTGTGGCACCATGGTTTAGAAATTAGAACTGAATTCGTAGTGCCCTCAGGAAAGGACTTCAGGGTTTTTTTGAGTTAGTTTTGCTTGTGACCTTCTAAGTATGAAGTATAGAAATAATGAGAACTAACAATCCTAGTTAATTGGGTGTTCTTGTTATGTAGAGTCCAGTTCATAGAAGATTTATTTACATATACTGAACTGTCATAAACTAGTCTTACCTTTCAAAAAATTATAAATTTATCATTAAGATGAGTGGATTAGTGTCTTTTCCCCCTCATTAGATGTAAGCTTCTTGAGAGTAAGAATTATCTCTTTTATATATCATTTATCCCTAGTGCCTAGGATAGCTCCTACCATGTAGTCGGCCTTCATTATACATAAAAGGAAAAAAAAAAACTTCTGAATGTATTATCATTAAAAAAAAAAAGTGAGTTGAATGGATGAATGAATTTCTCTGCTCTACCCTTAACTGATCCTTGAACATCCCTTTGACTTTCTCTACTGTTGTTCTTTCAGGCAGAAACCTAGAGGCTCCCCTGACTTGTGCCTCTTCCTTGCCTTCTCGTGGCTAAGCTGTCTTTTACAGTTCACCGTGCCTTTCTTGAGCACCTCTCGTGTGCCAGTACCAGGGATTTAAACACAAGTGAGACGTGGTCCTGTCTTCAACGAGCTCATTGAGTAAGGGAGACAAACGCGTGGATGGCAGTTTCTGCACCAAACACTAGGAGAACTGAAGGGAGTGGCATCTAACGCAGACAGCTGGACTAGGGAGGTCTTTCTAGAAAAATAGCTGAGCTGAGTCCTGAAGGACCGGTGAAGTTGGTCAGCATGAAATCAGGAAGGGCATTCCTGGCTGAAGGAGTATAGCCTGTTGCCTTAACTGCAGGTAGCTCAGCTTGGCTGAGGAAGGGTGGAGCCAGAGGAGTGTGGGGAAGGGCAGGGGTCAAGTCCTCAGGGGCCTTGAGTGTATGCTGAGGGGTTTGGATTTTTCCTGGCTTCTTTAGGAGGCTGGGGAGTGAGGGGATCAGATTCCCAGTTTAATAAATTCTGCTGCAGCATGGACAGTGGATCCCAGGGACCAGGCCTGGTGGCAGGGCACCAAGAAGGAAGCTATTGCAGATGAGGATTAATAAGTGCCCCTCTCTCACCCAGAAGGCTGTGACGGTGGACTAGAGAGAAATGTACAGATGTGCTGCTGATTCACTGCACAGAATTGGAGAGCTGCTGACTGGAAGGGCAGGGGTCAAGAGTCCCATTCTGCTGAATCTTCCTTCATGATTGCCCTCATGTCTGTCTGTTCCTACTCCCTTCCTCCTCATAAGCTCACGGCTCATCTTGTCACTCCCTTTCTAAAGAACCTTCAAAAACTCTCATTACCTATAAAATCCATAACCTGAATTCACATCCATCCCAGCCTCTCTCACATCCCATTTCCTGGCAACCCCATCTGGAATCCTTGGTCCAGCGCAGCTTTGGTACTCTGTTTTCTAAACACCATCAGTACAGTACCTATCCTTGGCCAATGACATTTTTGCACTTGGATTAGCCTCCCATTCCCTCTCTGTCTGGCTCCTCCTCATCTTTTAAGGCCCAGTATGACTCATAGATTTTTAGTGCTGGATCTTTTCTTAATTATGCTACTCATGGTTTTTCCAGAATACTCTTTATGCCCATGATAACAGCTCATTTACTGTTAGAACTATACAGAGCATTCGGAAAAGAGGCCAGATACAAAATAAGTCAATCCCCCAGCAATAGCCATCCCAGAAATATAGTGGAAATGGATTCTAATCATAACACCAATAGAAATGTAACATCATAGAATTAAACTTAACTATTCAGAATTTATGTGAAGAAAACTCCAAGATATAATGAGACATAAAACATTTGAATAAATGGAGAGATATAATCTGTGTAGTGGGATGGGTAGAATCATTACTTACTTATACATTTCAATTTATTATAATGTAATTCCGTCAGATGGGAGAGGGATAATGTGTCAAAATGATTCTAAAATTCATCTGGAAGAATAAACAGATGAGAACAGCCAAGACATTATTGAATAAGAAAAGCAAACTACTAGGTTTAAAACATTTGTAACACTATGATAATGAATATAATGTGTATTAATTAATTATGGATAAGTAGATCATTGAAAGAGAATAGAAAGGCCAAAAGTCAGTTGTGTGTACTGATTTTACACCATCCAGTTTTCTTAAAGTATTTTTTCTACTTAAGTATTTAATGTAAATATGGTATTTATTGTAAACATGGTATTTCACATCTGTGGAGTAAAGGTTGGATCATTCAGTAAATGATGCCGGATGATTATTGAAAAACTAACATTAGATTCCTGCTTCATAATGTTACACTGAAGTAAATTACCAACAGGTAGAAGAGTGAAATGTTAAAAAAATTAATGAATGAAAAATATATGTGAATATTTATTAATCTTGGGTTAGGGAAATGTCTTTTTTCTTTTTGGCTGCACTATACAGCATGTGGGATCTTAGTTTCCTGACCAGGGATCGAATGCATGCCTCCTGCAGTGGAAGTGGGGAGTCTTAACTGCTAGACTGCCAGGGAAGTCCTGGGTAATGTCTTTTAAGATAAACCCAAAGGCAATCTATAAAAGAAAAGGTTGACAACTTTGTTATTTTAAAAAATCAGTTAATCATACCTCAATTAAAAGAGGAATGATCATAAAAAAACAAAACAAAACTTCTGTGTGGCAAAAAGACACTATAAAACTGAAAGGTTAACAAACTGGGAAGAAATATTTCTAACACTCAGAAGAGATCCTTAATATGGGTTCTTATAAGTCAAGAAGACAAACATTCTCATAAAAATTAATCAACTCATGAAGAAATACCAGCGAGCAATAACCATATGGAAAAATATTTAACCTCACTAGTAAAGGAGAAAATTCAAATTAAAACAATGAGATAACAGGCTTTTGCCCATGGAATTAGCAAATGGTAAAAACTGATAACATGCAGTCTCTTGTTACTACAGTATTGGTGAGGTTGCATCTTGCCTTTCTGGAAGGCAGTCTGGTAGTAAGTCTCAGAAGCCTCAAATTTTGTACCTACCTTTTGACCCAGCAATTCCATTTCAGGAGATATTGCCTAAGGAAATAACTGGAGACATTAATACAAATGTATGTACAATGGTATCGTTAAAGCATTATATATAATCAGGAGAAATTATAAACAGCCTAAGTCAACAGTAGAGGATTGGTTAAAAAAAATTGGGACTAGCTTAATAAATTGGTATACAGTGAAACCATATAATATAATAATACAAAAACATTTGATGATATGGGAACTATTGGGCACTCTATATTAAGTGGGAAAAGGCCTTAAAGTGGTATGTAATATGATCTCATTTTTGTTGTATCTTCCTAAACCATGTCTGTATCTATATCAAATTGGTTAGGGTTTGTTACGTCTGGGATTGGTTGAAGAGTTGACTGTACCGCAGTTTCTAAGCCCCCAAACTTCCAGATGATGTTACTTTTTCTCATTTTTACATTCATTTATGAAGACAGCTTTATTCTAAAGACAAGGAATTTTGGATCCATTCTGGGTACTTATAAACAGTATGAAGTTCTGCAAAATTTTGTAGAATTGAATATTCCATCAGAGTTGGCAAGGTTCATTTACATCAAAATAATTTCTCATCTGTATTCCATACTTGACAAGATTTCCTTAAAGGTTATTCTAGTTGTCTTAATATTTTCACTTTTAGAGGAGAAAGTTTAAAATGCCGAACATTTTAACACTGAATAAACTAAATAAAAGTGGATTCAATTCTAACATCACACTTTCATAAATATCCTCCATGTAGTTGTTAACTTAGTACAGTGCAAGCATCTGACAGTTCTAAAATAATCTTGCTAAGATTGTGTGCTTGTGCCTTAAAACTTTGTTTTATTATTTTTTTTAATTTTCAGGGGTGATAGTCACTTTTGTAGTCAAAAAGCAGCTGTCTATTCATTGAATTTTACAGCAGACCCACCTCACAGAGTATTTAAACTTGTCGACCAGATCAACCCATCTGTTTTCTGTGTTCATATTACAAACTGTAAGTATTTGATATTGGTGTACTGTGTAAAACTCTGGATGGAAAGTTTTTTCTTTTAAAAGTTGTTTTATGGAAAAATGTCACATCAAGTTAGATTTAAAGCTCTTATTCTGTGGTTTGGCTAGAGGTTATCCTGAGGCCATTCCACAGACAACTGCAAGTAACTATAAACCTGTGGCCATGCACATTTTCTTTAATTGTGCTTTTGTCGTTTTCTTTTGAAATCTCGTGCTTTATTTCTCATATTTTATTTCAAAGGTGTTTATAAAATGTAGACATGCCTAAGAATCTAGATTTATTTGGGGGTGTGTGTGTGTGTGTGTGTGCATTTCCTCTTGATTTAATGGTTGAGAGTCAGGTTCAGCTTTGGTTTCAATTTCCTTTTTTCTCTTTTATTTTTACTAAGGGTATTTGCATGAAAACAGGATCTTTATTTTTATATGAGCTTTTAGCTCAATTAGATGTCTAGTTCCAAAGTATAAAACATTTATCAAGATCAGAGACACATTCATGGTTTTATCAATTAAACTTTATCATCTTTTCAGAATGTCTTTATATTTTGGTTTTGTCCCCTTGCACTTAAAAATTTAGGTGGATGCTCTATGGTTTGTAATCTGCAGTAATGGCTGGTCAATCACTGTAACAGGCCCAGTGAACATAACCAGCCTGTTCCCTCCTCCTCCCACCTCTCACGTACAGAGCACATTATCGTCCTGGGCTTCGGAGGTGGCTGTGTGAGGGTAGAAAAAGGATCTTTCATTCCCCTAGCCATCTGGAGAGAGTTGCCTCTGAGAGGTTTATACAGTTTATGAGTCCATGGACTGGAGAAAGAGATTGATTATTATTGGCTTCTGTTGTGCTGTTTACCCGCAGGCCTTGGAAACTCTTGCTTCCACAGTAGAGAAAGAGGCCATGCCTGGGGAGTCTATTTAATAAGAATCAAGAAATCTTGGGGAAAGTGAATATTTAGAGACATTTTAATTTTTTCACAGCAGTCTTCACAGTAGCCTTACTGCTACTAAAGATTGTTTCCTAAATACTATGTATACTGTATATGCTATACATATTATATTTTATTTTGATTTAAAATACTTTTTCTAAAAACAGATAAACCTGCATTATACTTTATTAATCCAGAAGTGACTGATGAAAGCAGTTTTGATAAATTGATGAAAACACCTGATGGTTTTTCACTAAATCCAGAATCAGATGTTTCAACCAGACTGGATGCTCCCCAAACTGCAAAATATGAGGTGAGCCAGGAACTTAAGTCCACTCATCCTGTCATAAATATCTTGTCTTTATAAGTATGTTCCCAGTAAGCTAGCTTCCCTGAGACACAGAATTGATATTATAAACCAAAAAACAATGTTTGTGTCCATAGGTCAAAAATGAAAATTAAAATTAAGTAGTTGAATTCTAACAGAGTACTGAGGCATATATCCTCTGGTAAGCTTTCATTTGTTTCTGCAGAATTCTTTCTTCTCCACCTCAAAAGATGCAGCAAAGTGCTTGAGAGATGCTGCTGGAAATAGAGTGGATGGGCTGGAGGCTGGTTCCTCTTCTCAGAGTTGTGTGTAGTTTTGCAGACTTTGGGAAGATGTGTGGTATTTGTTATCCATTCCTTCATAAACCTTTAAATATGTTATGTGTTAACTTTGACTAAGTGTCACAATTTTTGGAAGCATCTTTTTAAAAGAGAAGTATAAAACAACCTATCTAGCGCTAGTTCTAAAAGTTGAAGGTATAGAAGTACATAAGTAAAAATGGAAAGGTTCCCATCTCCAATTAAAACTAAAGCACACTGCAAGGAAATTCCCTGGTGGTCCAGTGGTTGGGTCTCCACGTTTCCACTGCAGATGGCCCAAGTTCAGTCCCTGGTCGGGGAAATAAGATCCTGTAAGCCATGTGGCTTGGCAAAAAAAAAAAAAGTAAACAGTGTACACTGAAAATCACTGTTAACAGATGGGTGTATATTCCTGGTTTTTTAATGCAGCTACTGAAATATATGTATAATACTGTGCAGAAATGAAATTTCTAGTTGTCCACATTGTGCTATAAATTTCCTTTTTTATTCATGATCAGTTTTATGCATCTTCCCATGTCACTATAGAAATGGCCATTTCTGGAGCATTTCCCACCTGCCAGGCACTGAGCAGATCTCTTCAGACATCACTGTACACAATCCTGGGAAGGATACTTAACTTTAAGTGAAGGCCCTATTTAAGTGATGAGGAAAACATAGGTATAGGAAGGAGCTAGTGTTGGAGCTGCATTTTGCTGATACAGAGTATTCCTTCCAGGGATGTGTCATTATTTATTACTGAGCCATTCCACTATCTAATAGACATTTGTTTCAAGTTTTTCTATTATAAATAATCCACAATAAACATTCTTATAGATTTTTTTTGTCTGATTAAATCCATAGGGTATGTTCCTATAAATGGATTAACTTGGTCAAAATGAACGGAAATTTAAAATACCAATACCAGCTTGCCCTCCAGAAAGACTGCAGGGGTTTATCCTCCCAGCTCTAGTGAAGGAGAAGGCTTGTTCCCCGCTTGCTGGCACCTGTGTCAGCCTCTTAGATACCCTTCCAGTGGGATAGAAGTAGAATAGCCTAGAATAAAAAAGCCTGCAAATTCTGTAGCATGCATACACAGAAACACACAGCCTTAAAAGGAAGAGGGTGGGGCAGCTAGATGTTTGCTCCCTGTCGGCAGGGACCACAGCTGTTTTTAAATCATCCCTGCAGTGCTGCTTGTCTCGTAGTAGTGTGTAGTGAGTGTTGAGCGGATGCCTTAGTAGCACCCTGACAGCTGTTGGTTGTTCTGTTTGCAGTATGGGGTTCATCTGCAGACTTCAGATTCATTTTTGAGATTTCCTTCTCCCCTTACATCATCTCTGTGCACTGATAATAACCCTGCAGGTAAGAGAGTGGGCATTTTTCTTTTTCTCTGCAAACAGAGTTTGCTCTTAGTTTAAATTTATAGCAATCATAATAAACAAACTTTGTAACTAGAAACAGAGTCTTAGAGTTGAAAGACACTTCACAGGTTGTATAGTTCAGTCCCTCCCCCTCACCCCTGCCCCATGGCAAAATCTTTTCTGCCACCTGTGGTCACTGCTTGAGCATTTTTAGTGATGGGGAACTCACAACCTGCAACCAGCCCATTCAGTTGTTTAATTCTTGAGGTTGTTGGAAAGTCCTTTTGTCACTGGAGCGAAAGTTTGTCAATAGCTAACATTGATTAACTGTGTGCTGGGTGTTGTGTTAAGCGCTTGCTTGTGTTTTTCCCATTGATCCTCACGATGATCCTCTCAGGGAAGGTAATCTTCATTTTTTAGGTGAGGAAACTGAGAAAATGAGTTCAGTTTCTTACTCAGGCAGTGGTGAAGCAGGGATGCAACCCATGCAGCTGCCTCCCATGGGTCCTCCTCCTCCTTCAGGAGCATCATAGGCTCTGTGGAGTAACTGCTCTTGGCAGCAGAAGGCAGTAGGCCTGGCTGTCCCGTCCTTAGCCAGCCTCACTATGCAGAAGCCCGCTAAGCTGTGGATGATAGCATGTGGCCTAAGGACGCAACACTTGCTACATGAAGGAAAATGTGTTCTGTTGAAGAGGCTTAACCTTGCTCACACAGTAGGAGCAGTGTAATTTAGAACCAAACTGAGATACCATTTCCACCTAATGGATTGTAAAGTGTAAAATTTAACGCTGTGGAGAAGTAGGCACTTGTCTATATCGCTGGTGGGACCGAAAATTGGTACAGCCTTGATGAAGGGCACTTGGGAAACATACATCAAAATTGCAGACAGATATTCCCTTTAACTTAGCTGTGCTACTTCTAGAAGTTGGTCCTACAGAAACTCTGGCCCACATGCAAAATGATAGATTGCAGCATTGTTAGAGCAAAACTGGAGACAACTTCCATTAGTGGGGAACTGGTTGGATAGATTATGGTGTGTCTGTAATAGAATATGAGTTATCCCTAAAAAGAGGAGGAGGAACCTCTTGATACTGAGATAGACTGAACTCCAAGATACATTGCTCAGTGAAAAAGACAAAGGGCAGAAATATATGTTATGAGTTTGTTTCCAAAAGGGGAAAGAAATACTTAAAAAAAAAGTGTGTTTGTATACACACACAGACACATACACACACACACTTTCTGAAAATATCATAGGATATTTCCAGAAAGATACACAAGAAACTTCATGTAGACTCTCTCTGGAGAAGGGGACTGGTGGTTGCTGGGGGCTAGGGGTTGGAGGGAGACAACTCCTCAAATCTTCTTCTGAATTTTAAATCATGTGACTGTATTACATATTTGAAAAATAATTTTTTATACCCTATCTGAAGCATATTGTATATATGTCATAACTTTGCAGTTTTACTTAGATTACAATTTATTAGTTAGAAATTTTTCTTCTTTTTAATTGTTTTTTCTTTTCCCTTGGGAATATTATGATTTCCAGCATTTCTGGTTAACCAAGCTGTTAAGTGCACCAGGAGGATAAATTTGGAACGATGTGAAGAAATGGAAACCCTGAGCATGGCTTATTACAGCAGCCCTAAAATTTTGATGGTAAGAATTATTTTGAGGTAAAACTTGATTCATTGGGTTTATTTTCTGTTCTTCATACCCTTTTAAAATATGACAAGTAGAGAATCATTTCAGTACATGATTGACACTCAGAATTTTTCTTCTCCAGTTCTTTGGTGTACTGATACCAAAGATACTGAAATAATCACTTAAAATTTTATTTTTATATAGTTAACTCATAATTTGCTTTCATTTTTTTCTTTTTTGCATTCATTCATTTTGATGGTAATCAGTAATGTCTGTCTCCTGAATTAAACCTTTATTAATAACCAAAACTTTCAGAATTATAAAAACATCTAATGTCTGTCACAGAAATGATCATACTAGCACCAAAAAGTTATAGTTCTGGCAGATAAAATAAATACGCAGGAAAGGACAGGAAATAGGTTTGCTGGAGAAAGAGAAGCGGCCCTTTATTCCTGGTTGTGGTGACTGAAACCTGAACTGAATAGGTGAGAGAGCCCACTGGCCCACTTGGTGGGTGACATGGAGGGTCGCAGGGGAGAAGACATTTTTCAGTGATTAAAAATCATATGATTATTGTGAAAGCCCCATCCCCTTCTGATTTCCTTCTACTGAGAGGGGAGTGTGGTGATGGCGGTGGGGGATGGTGGTGTTCCATGGCACCTGTATTCATCTGAACTTCACTTTTCAGAATCAAGTTTAATCTTTTCCTCTTCCCACCCTTTCCTTCTTTCTTTCCTCGAAGTCAGCCATCTATGCCTGTGAATTCTTCCGGTTTATGTGACCCCTCACAGTTGTCCTGTAAACAGTCCCCCAGGCATCCGGGCACAATTCTCTTTCATCTCAGAGCCCCCATCCCTAGACATGTCTACTCAACCCCCTCCCCAAAAGCTCCCATTGGCCTAATAGGGCATCTTGTGGTTGGAGAAGTGGGATTGGGGGTGTGGGGACAGGAATGGAGTGCGGCAGCGCCCTTCAGGAAGAGAGCTGTGGCCATGCTGGGGGGTCGGGAGCTTGGTCTCCAGGGGGCTCGGGCTAGAGACAGGAAGACCAGGAGACTGTGGCGCCACCTGGGTGGGTGATGGTGGCCTTCCCATGAGGACAGGCGCAGCACGAGTGACCAGAAGGAGGGGAGCTGTGTCTTCTCCACAGTGTTATGTCACTGATGACCATGTGAAAGATACTGAATAATTACTCTGAAGCATGGAGGCTTCCTGAGACACCCTCTGTTGGGCTGTGTTATTGAGCTCCCAATCTGAAGGAAATGAATATAGAAGGAAAATGTAAAGTTAAATCTTCTATGATGACACAGATACAAAAATATATAGGTGGCAAACCTTGATTAAGGAAATTATGTTTTTCTCTTTAATAAGAGGAATATGCCCTTTAATGCACCATCTGAAAAAGCAATAACAGTGCTTCTTTTTGTTGTACATAACAAAATTTGTTGTTCTTTTTTATTTAGGTCCCTGGTTCAGGAATAGAGGTAAGAATACTTAATGGACTTATTGTCTTACCTTAGAGCCCTTTGAAATAAATACACTTACAGCTGGAAGGGTACCTTACTGCAAGTAACAAAAACATTTGCCAAAAAGCAAACAGAAATGAAATAGAGAAATTCCTTAGTAGACCATTCTTTTATTATTGCGAAAGGGTCAGACTTTCAAATTCCTTTATTTTTTGTAGTCCACACTTGTTCATGATTAAATTTTCTGGGTGTCTTGACTGACAAGGGGTGTGATTTGCCTCTGTGCTTTCAGGGCATCCCTTGATATCTTCTTGGCCTCTTGTCAGGAGGGCTGGCTAGCTCCGGATGCTGTCTGTCCAGTGTAGAAGGTAGAAATCTTGTGCCCAGTGAATGTACACACCTGTGTAAGAGATGAGCACTGTCAGTATAGCTTCCAGGTTGAGTTGCAGGTAGGTTCTAGTCAAAGCCATGGCCCCAGCCCAGTGGCCCTGGAGAGCTGTGGTCAGGAGGCTGCGGTCTCTTTGCAGCTATGTCAGAGAGAAAGATGGCGGGGTTGTTCTTGTTCTTGGGGTTGTACCCTGCTCCTCCCTGTGAATACCACAGTCCCCAAGGAGGCCAAGGCATTGACCTTGTCATCAGGTCCCAGAGCCTGTGGAATTGGTTGACTTTGATTCAAAACTCAGCTTTGCTGTTGTTTTCTCATATGGCACCTGCCTCAGTCTCCCCAGTCGCAAGTGGGTGGATGGAACGTGTCTGCCCTAGAGGCTTGACGTAAGGCTGGAGGGAGAGAATGCACGTGATGTGAGGCCCGGCTCTGGGTAAAGTGTCTGTTGCGCAGGAAGCACTGCAGACCACGGTACCTGCTGTGACTGAGTTCATTACGTCTCTTGACACAAACGTGAGGTAGACGTTTGGAAAGGGATAGTCGTCTGACCTTGGACTCCACACTACTGTGTGTGGCCCTGGATTTCCTCCTCTGTGAAGGTACTTTCAAACTTATTTTAGTTACAGTGCTTCTTCAAGTGAAATCTTAAGCAGAGCCTACCTAGTATGTAATACGAATTGAATCCAAAGCCCCTGGTTGGAGCAGAGGTGGGGTCAGAAACCCTTTACCTGCCCAACTTCCCCATCTTTCTCCTTTCTGGTCACTTGTGAGGAACACTACAGCTCCCAGGGACCCAGTTTGAGAGTCATATAATAGACTAGCCCTCAAATACCTCTGATCACTAAGAAAGTACTTTAAAAAAATTATACTTTAAAATTTTTGGCTGTGCTGGGTCTTCATTGCCTTACATGGGCTTTCTCTAGTTGCAGCAAGCAGGAACTACTCTCTAGTTGTGGTGCGGAGGGCTTCTCATTGCAGTGGCTTCTCGTGGCGGCTCCTGGGCTCTAGAGCATGGGCCCAAGGGTTGCGGTGCATGGGCTTAGTTGCCCCATGGCATGTGGGATCTTCCTGGACCAGGGATTGAACCATGTCCCCTGTATTGGCAGGCGGAGTCTGCCAGGAAGTCCTGAAGAGTGCATTTATTTTATACTATTCAAAGTTGGACTGTCTGTGGGGACAGCTGCCCTGTCCACCATATAGCGTTGGTACTAAGGCATGCCTAGAAGGTATTGGGCCCTTCATGGGTTGGGTGTTAATTGAACGACTAAGGACTGGTTCAGTCAAGTAGGGAAGACCTATTGTGAGGAATATTGGGACTTGACTCAAAGGCACGTACTGTGTGCCAAGTGCTGTTCCAAGTGCTCTGCGTGTCTGCAGTCCTTTAGTTGTCCCAGTGATCCTAGGAGGCCGGTCCTGTTGTTGGCACTCTCTGGCACATGGGTCACAGAGAGATGAATTGGTTTGCTCGAGGCTACACAGTGGGGGAGTACAGAGCTGGGATAAGAAGCCATGCTGTCTGGCTCCAGAGACCTTATTCTTAGCAATGACTGGAGACCAGCTCTACTGTGTGCCAAGCCCCTAGTTAGAAGTTTTGCACACATTTTCTCTCTGTATCCTGTGGCCACACAGTCAAGCCATGGCAGTCTAGGACTTCCAGCTCAGATCTGTGTGGCATCAAAGCTCCGAAGGATGTCACCTAATATCAGGAATGTGTATAAAAAAATTTTTTTTAAAATGCAGCTTCCAAAGTCTCTTAGAGGGTCAGGATAAAAGTTGGATCCAGTCTTCCCACTAATCGAAGCTCATTGTGATTGCTTGGAATTGCTGTCAGTATTTATTGAACCATCAACAAAAGATTGTCACAGCCCTGTAGTTTCGTTGTTAAGTGGGCTTTAGTTCTTTGCCAGTGGTTAGTTTGGGAATGGGATATGATTGAATAGGACATTCAGGAAACCAGAGCAGCCCTACCAGATTCATTCTTGTGACTGAATGCACGGTGATAGCCTCGCACAGTTCTTGTCGCTTACACTCCTCCCTCAGTCTTAACAGAGCTAGTTTAAACTGAGCCCTTCACTTTCTGCCAGTCACACCCACATGCCACGGGGATGGCTTCATCAGAGACTGGTATGGAAAGGTGTGCTTGTTTGGAACACAGTACATCATTGCTGAGTCAGGGCATTTCAGATAAAGGAATCCAGGGTTATCTTTTGATGACTTCCTTAAGAGCTAATTACTCTATAGCTAATTACCTGGTAGCGTGAAACTCCTGTTATGCAGAGGACTTTCTTTGTAGTGACTGGAGTTGCCAACCTGCAACTCTGTCGCATGACAGCTCATCTTTGCTTTTGAACAATACCATGTTCTTGCATTAGAGGTTTGACTATCAAGGGACAGTTGCAGGTATTCTTGGTCATGGGAACAGACACATAAGAACTACTTGTTTATCTATAAAATCACAGCTTAAATATTTAGTAATTTTGAATTAAAAACAGCATAGTACATGGTTGAGGGCAAAGTTCAAAGCAATATAAACAAATGGATACAAGTTAGGTTCCTTCCTAAACAGTGGTTTCTAAGAGCAGATATTTAGAGCAAACATCAGACTTGTCTCATGGTACAAAGAGGCCAAAATATCTAGAGGTTCAAGCCATTGAAAGATTGCTTGGTACTCTGTCACTCCACTGGCGATGAGCATAAGTGAAAAATGTCCTTTAATAGCGTTGATCTAACCACGGTTTCTTGATTCTGCTTAAAAAAATTTGTTTCTGTTTTTCTTCCTCACGATCCCACCATGAGTATGTGTGTATATAAGGGTGTGTGTAAAAGTTGTGTATAAGTTGGGTCAAGCATATATTCAGAGAGATTGTGGGGGTTTAGGAGGATGGTTTCTGGGACCATGTGAAGAATGTGCACATGCGTGTGTAGAGCAAGTGCATTTATCAGTAGGAGCTGTAGTTTGGAGGTGAGAGTGTATGTGTGCCTTTGATGGTATGATGGTAGGTGTGTGTGTGTTTGGGATATAATTCACTTACCATAAAACTTACTATTTTAAAGTGTACAATTCAATGGGTTTTGGTGTATTCGCAAGGTTATGCAGTTATCACCATTATCTAATTCCAGAACATTCTCACCACCCCAAAAAGAAACCCTGTGCTCATTAGCTATCACTTTTCGTTCTACCCCAGCCTTCTTCCCCTGCCCCTGGCAACCACTGTATATACTTTGTGTCTCTGTGGATTTGGCCATTCTGGACATTTCATACAGATGAGATCACATAGTCCGTGGTCCTTTGTGTCTGGCTTCTTTCACTTAGCACCGTGTTCTCAGGCTTCATCTATGTTGTTGCATGTGTTAGTGCTTCATTCATTTTTACGGATGATTCTTTTTATGGACGATATCCTTTTGTAGGGATAGACCACATTTTATTCATTCATCAGTTGATGGACATTTGGGTTATTTTCAGTTTGGGGCTATTATAAATGCTGCTGTGAACGTCTGTGTACATGTTTTTGTGTGAACATGTTTTCAGGGGTAATCACTTAACATTTTGGTTTTATCCATCTCAGATATTTTCTATGTGAATGTATGCATGTATTTACATATAAATAAATACCTGTGTTTTTGCAAGTGTGGAATTCTAGTGTGCATATTGTTCTATAGTGTGTGTTTCCCTCCTCGGCAGTGTACCTGTGGAGGTGAGTTTCACGTTTACACTGTTTTTGCCCGTTAACTTCCTCTGTACCGGTGTGTGTTTGGTAACCCAGGACTTGACTTTGCAGGTCCCTGTCACGGTTCAGTCCATCGTCATCCGGTCTCTAAATAAAACACTAACTCGACTGGAAGACACAACAGCCATACTGAGGGTATCAAACCAGGGTGTTGTTGAGGCGGGGCATATTGAAATCTGCACTAACGTCGTACTTGAGGTAGGTGCCCAGTTTGGCTTTGAAAGTTCACTCTGTCTGTGGCCGGCTCAAGCTGGGTGTGGTCCTGAGGGGTAACTGGCCACCCTCTGGCCCATCCAGTGGTATTGCTTTTCTTGTCTTGGCCTCCTGCTTGCCTTTATCCTGTCTCATCAGAGGTCACTTCTTTGTCCCTGAAGTAATCACGTGTGATTTTCTCCACAAACCTAGTAACTTATAAGAAGAATACATCATAATTTGTTGCTACTACTGTTGTTTTAACATTTATCTGCAGAGATAGGCTGCTTACATTCTGCCCAGGCCAGCTGACTTGTACCTTCTGTGATTGGGCACAGAAAGGCTCAGATGCCCCTGGCAGTGGGGGCTGATGCTGAGCTAATACCTCCCATGATGCGGTTGGACAGGAGAGACATGCTTCCCTCTCTGCATGAGAAGTGGGAAGGGATGACCTCCTAGATGTGTATTTTTTAATGTGAGTTATTAATACAGCTACGGAAACACATTGGGAACAGATGTATCTGAAATATCCTTTTGTTTTTAGGTGACGTACAGCCTCACATATACAGATGCAGGTGAGGTAATAAAAGCTGATCTCTTTCTTCTTCTGGGAGCAGTGAGCAGTGCAATGGTTCCACTCCAGCAAAAGTTTGAAATTTATTTTATTCAGGTAAGTTTGATCAGTTTCCATATAAGTATCAATAATTGTCAAGTATAAAGAAATCATGAATTAGTGAAAAAAAAATCTCAAATTAGAAGTATTACTACAACCAGTTGTTTGGAACAAAGGGCTCACGTGTAGCCTGTGGAAGCCTGTCACAAAATCCAGCCAGAGTCCTGTGTCTTTTCCACTTGGGAATAAGCTGCTCCTCCCTGTGAGCTTGTTCCTATACAGCATGATGCACTCCTACACTCCGCAGATATATTTATAGTTCTGAGTAGGGGGAGAAATTCTTTCCTTGGTTGGTAATCCCAGATTTCATTATGAAAACCATTTCATCTTCCCTCTGCCATTTCCTTATTAAAACGAGAATTACTTGGGGGCATTTCTGCACTGTCTTTCAGCAAAACGCAAAGCCAGTTCCTCTCAGTGGAAACCCTGGTTATGTGGTGGGGCTCCCATTAGTTGCCGGATTCCAGCCTCAGAAGGGATATCCTTTTTGGCTCTGTAGAGAAGTCTCATTTCTCTGTCCACGCGTGTGGGCTGCGCTTCTGATTGCTGAGGGTCCTGAGGGCTGGAGAGACTGGCCTCGGCCAGAGCTGCCTTCGGGGGACTTGGCCTGCATAGCAGACAGGGCTGTGTGGAGCCTGATGTGGTGGGACAGCGTGGCCCGGGGGACCGGCAGTGTCTTACAGTGAAAGCCTTCAGACAGAGGGTTGACAGACGTTTAGAGGTATTTGATTTTACACTTAAACTGAGACTGTTAAATTAGTGGTTTGAAAATGTGGAATTAATTTTGAAGGGCCAGTTTCTGAGAGTTTTTCTTCTGAGGCTCTCCTAATCAAAGAAAACAGTTAAACTGTTTTTCCTTTTCCTGGGAGATAACTGTCAAAATCCCCAAGGCCTAGAGAAGGGATATTTGGGTCTCACTCAAATCTCATGTCACACACATGACACCATCTCCTAAGAATCTGCTGCTTCAGTACCGGGCAACTCCCTTAACCTGTGAATGTCTGGGATCATTCAGACCACGAATAGATATGGACAACTTACTCTTCTTCGTAGCACAACTGAGCAAGACTGCTTAGCAGTAGAGGGGATCCGGGCCCCAGTATTATTTGGTTACAACATGCAATCTGGCTGTAAACTCAGGTAAGAGAGTAACTTGCTTCTGTTGGAGCCTATTTGCATTGATCAAAAAAAACAAAAACACTCTTATTCTTCCCATTGTTTTCCCTGTGTTCTCCCACTTTATATATATGTATATATATTTATTTATTTATATATATATATATGCATGTATAAAATTTTTATTGGAGTATAGTTAATTTAGTGTTGTGTTAGTTTGAGGTTTACAGCAAAGTGAGTCATTATACATATATCCCCTCTTTTTAATTTTCTCATGTAGGTCATTACAGAGTATTGATTAGAATTCCCTGTGCTATACAGTAGGTCCTTGTTAGTTATCTAGCCCTTCCCATTTTAATCGAACTTCTACATCAGCTGACAAGCTCATTAGCATATTATTAGTGGGTAGCAGCCATAGTAACAGTAGTTTATTCTACAATGATGTAGTTTCTGGTTTGCCAATTTTAATTCTCACAACCATAAACTATTTGTCATGATTCAAAGGAAAATCATTAAAACTCTTTCTGCTTATCAGATATGGCAGAGTAAAAATATCAAGGCTTTGTATGTTTTATTTATCTTTTTATTGTCAAACATAATGTAAAATGTTGAACAGCTCTGTGGCTTGTTCTAAAGACAGCACTTACCACCTTCATTTTCCCTATCCCAGAGTTCCAGAGGCAATCACTTTCAACTCATGGTTGAGTTTTTGTCCCCAAATCTTTAAATAAACCATATATAATGCTGCTTCTTGATTTTTTTTTTGTTTTATGACTTCTGTTTTTATTTTTTTATTCAGGTGTAAAGTTGATTTATAGTGTTTCAGGTGTACAGCAAAGTTATTCAGTTATATTCTTTTCAGATTCTTTTCCATTATAGGTTATTATAGCATATTGAATGTAGTTCCCTTTGCTGTACAATAGATCCTTGTTTATTTTCTTATGACTTTATTTATTTGAGTTCCCACTATGGGAGATGAAGATTTGGCTCTTTCTTTTTTGGTCCCCTACCCCACAAGCCACTTGCTTCCCATCCTTATATCTCCCCAGGGTATCTACACCATTATTTTGGTTAGACCAAAATTCACCATTTACATTATTCTGATCGTGTTAGGCTAGGATTTCTGAAAGGAGGTTCTGTGGGATACATTTCCATAATGTCAGCAGGGGTAAGTCTGTGGTTTAATATGTTTGGGAAACACCAAATTAAAGTTCAAAACATGATTCCTTACTAAGTAAACACTTCTCAGACTCTTTAGTATGTCAGTGTACTTCAGTGGGGACATGGGTATGTAATATTTCCCAGATGTTTGGCCATGGAACCCTTCTTGTACAGAGCTTCTCCATGGAATATAGTTTGGGAAACTTTGTTTTGGATTCATCTCCCTGGCTAACCACAATTACACAAAGTGAGAAACACTTTAACTTCAAATAATCCCCTTTTTGGAGAGTGAAAAAAGAAACTAGAGAGAATATGTGTACTGTTGAGGAATGTAAAAATAAAAACACTGCAGGTACAGTATTCTATAATCAGAGATATTATGGGTACTAACACTGTATTAAAGTAAGGTATTTGGCCAATGTAACATAAAGATGGCTAATACCTTGAGACAGATGCCCTTGTTTCTTATTTTTAGTACTTTTTGTGTGCTAGAGAAATGTCATAATTAAACATGACCTTGACATTTATTAAAAAAAAAGAAACTGTAGGTTTGAACAGTCACCTCATTTGACCTCATTCTCCTTCCCAAAAGACTGACCAAAGCTCTCACGTGTCGGCTGGTAGCGCAGAAGATGAAGAGCCTGCTAAAGGGTCAGGGCTTCCCAGATTATGTGGCCTCTTTTGGAAATTCCCAGGCCCAGGATGTGCTGGACTGGGTGCCCGTCTATTTCATCACCCAGACGTCCCATGTGAAGGTAAATGGGGAGAAGCTGAAGACCACTTTGTGTGCACCTGCCCCTCTCACTGTGGGGAGACAGAGGCAGTGGGGAGGCGGGGGGCACCTGTTGAGGGGGTGGTTGGCTGTGGGTGGGAGTTTGGACTTTGTCGTCAGATGGGCCTGGATCTTGAATACTGATTTTGCCTGTAGTTAGCAGCGATTCAGCCAGCGATTTTTACGGGTTTGAGCCTCTTTTTCGTCATAGCTGTATTACTGCCCTCAGGGCTTGTTGAGAGTTAAAATCAGGTAACATTTATGGTGCCTAGTGGTCACTCTATAAGTGGGGACCACTACCAGTCACCATTCTGTTCCTTGTTGGTGTTATGCAAGGTCTTCTCTAGGTATCATGATATGATAGGTGAAGTGTTAGGACTGTTTCAATAAGACTTCATCCCATCTGCAGAGCTGTCCCATCCATTGTTCCCTGGTCTATAAAAGCACTCCACCCATGAGAGCTTTCAATTCTAAAGTTCCCAGAAGAGTTTAATGGAAATTGACATCCTACAAATAGGTTCCAGATCACATGTGGTTCTTCTGCCCACCTTTTTCTTTTGTCTCAGCAGTCAGAGTGTGGGCCGGCCCCTTCAGCGGAGGCGTGCTCTCCATCTTTATCTTTTAATTGCCCGGCTTTTTCTTGTCACCGTTTCTTCAGGCCTCTCATTATCTGCCTAGCACATTTATAGCATGGGGACAATGGGGTGAGGACTAGCTCACTAGCTCCGATCGCACCCTCCCCACTGAGTCCCCACCAGAGACCCGTGATTACTCAGTCCCTGCGGTTCAGCTAAGTCTTGGCTCAGCTTTGCCGCCTCAGTGAACCAGGCAGATTGCTTCCAGCTTCTTCCAGATGGATTAGGATGTCCAGTTGTTACTTCTCCCTCAGAAGGGAAGACATAAGTTGTGGCGGGAGATGCAGCAGCGTGGACACACGCACTGCCGGGGTCTGTGCCAGTCGGGAGCTCAGAGGGCCCGGTGCGGGTTTCATCCCAGCCTTCCAGGCAGAGCCGGCACGAGAGCATCTGCTGGGCTCAGCTGACACCAGCTACGTGTTGCATCTTCTAATGACAGGATATTCTCAAGGATTTTTGAGCCTGCAAATTTCTTAAGAGACAGTGCTAAGCCAAGGAATTCCGCCCTTGCCTTTTTGGCCAGCACCAAATTTAGCAGGTATGCTAGCTTTGCATGCCCCCAAGAAATGTATTTTTAAAAACCTTTCATTGTGGAAAAATTTCACACATACATACACAAAAAGTAGAATACTCCAATGGAATTCCATCTCCCCATCGGGCAGCTTTAACATGATCACATTTGCCAAATGAAGAAACTGTAAAACAGGAAAGAGGTCTGGAAGGCCCCCTTCACCATGTTCCCCGTAGGACTGAGCAAACAAAGACCCTGGGGCAGAGGTCTCAGGCCCAGCTCCCGGTGTCCAGGCCTGAACTGGGCAGCTCCGTTGTGCCACCAGTGCCCTCCATTGAGAGTGAGAGTTAACTTCTTTGAAAACTTAGGACAGCGCCTGTATACCCTGATGTAACATCTTAATTGCCAACCTATGAAATCAGATAAGCAAAAAGAAAGGACTTGAATTTCCTCTAAGTACATTTTAACATGATATGCAGTCAGGTTTAGTTTCTGACTGTTAATAATACTGTATTCCCTTTCCTCCCCGCCCCCCCCCATGCCAACTCCTTTCCTAAGGAATCTCTGAGGTAGATGTAAATGGGTGAGTGCAGTTAGACCTGTCAGGGCCCTGGAGGGTCCATGGTTGGGGGTACAACTCCCAGGTAATGCTGGTCTCTTTAGAAACAGGAAAGGCTGTAAAAATTATGCTTTTTTTTTTGGAGCATTGAGTACTTTTAAAACACATGCTACTTCTAAGCTGTTTTTATCTGAACTTCTAGAGTCTATTCATTCTCTTGTTCAGAACATTTTGTAATATGGGAAACATTTTATAATTAAAACTCTGAACTGCAGATTAAGCTTGACTTAAGGTTGTATAATACTCAAACTGATTAATGGCATATTATTGTACAGGATTCCTGCCAGCTCCCAGTGGCTCTGACGGTAGAAGTGAGATGGACTAAATACGGATCCTTATTGAACCCACAGGCTAAAATAGTCAATGTAACTGCAAATCTAATTTCATCTTCCTTTCCTGAGGTAGGCCTAATTTTAAAGATACAGGTTAAGACACGAGGCCAGACAAAACTCAGCTGTGATAGGTGAAATTTATTATTTTGTAAAAATAATTAAAATTTAAACAATCTGGATTCTTAAAACAATTTAGCAGTCATCGTTTACTTAAAGGAAAAACCTCCACTGAACAAAATGGTTTTGTTCACATCTGCATTCTTGTTTAGATTTGATCTTTAAAATCCTTGTCAGAATTGAGTTATGAATGACACCAGTATGTGAGGGATAACCTGAGTGAAAACTCTCTCTCTTCTCTGAGTTAGTGACTGATGAGCCCTCACGTACCTATCAGATTCATGAACTGACAGCTATTGGGTGAGGAAGGACATGGAAGCTGTCCCATCTTTGTTATCCTGATAACACACTGGAGGGCGAGGCTTGCATCACTCTGATTTTGTATTACAGACCAACTCAGGAAATGAAAGGACAATTCTTATTTCCACTGCGGTTACTTTTGTGGATGTGTCTGCACCTGCAGAGGCAGGCTTCAGAGCTCCGCCAACCATCAACGCCAGGCTGCCCTTTAATTTCTTCTTCCCATTTGTTTGATGTAAGTCGTTAAATAAGGAAACTACACCATATTTGCAAAATTCAGCACGTGTGGGGCCACGGTCCCTCGGAGACATTCCACTTTATTATAACCCTTGAGATTGCCCCCAAACCAGCACACTTCCTCTCCACTCACTTCCCTCCTCTCGTCTCCCTTTGGGAATGTCATTCTACTTGGTCTGACATTAGAAGGGGGCATCATCTGGTCTTAGCCAGTTCCAGTACTCTCAACACATAAGTCGTATGTGGAAACCAAGTTGCACCTTTGAGAAGACAAGAGGACAGACCCTCAAGTAGTGCAGGCGTTGAGGGTTTATCCAGTTTATTCATCCCCTGCTTTAAATGTGAGTTATTTTTAAAATATTATTTTTAGTTCAGGTTTTCTTCCTTTTCAGGTCCTGCTGAAATGAGTACAAAAATAGCAAATTGTTTAAAATCATGTGAGTAAAGGACAAGGCCTCACAAGGGGATCTTCCCCCAAATGTCGTGTTAATTACAGTGGAGTCTTGGGTCTAATTGCCACTTCTGTACCAGGCATCAGAGCTAGCTTGCTCTCCAGTTAGTGGGCTGGTCTGGGATGCCACCAAGTGATTCCAAGCAGTTGAAGCTGGAAAGGATCTAGTAGGAGGGCCCGAGGGAAGGAGAGAGTTTATTTTATACATTAATTGTACAGTAACTGAGGAAAATGTTGTCAGGTGGCAGAACTAGGTGGAGCCAGCTAAAAGCTGGAGGATGCAGAGGAGGGGGCTGGGTACTCGAGAATGGCCTCCTTGGTGGAAATTGTGGTTAGCTGTTTAGAACAGCTTGGACATGTAAAAGACTTCTAGAATGTGCTGATAGCTAAGATAGCTTTCTTTTTTGTTTTTCAGAGTGCTCATATGAAAGGATGTACTGATCCCTCAATATACATGTGAAAACTGTACATTTGGTGAGATTAAATTTTATATACAGCTACTAATTATCCAGCTTGTTCATTTTCAAGCAAGAGTTAAGTGTTCAACATGAGAAAAATAGAGTTTATGATACATTTGTTACACAGTGTGGGGTGGGAGATTCTCAGTCACACCAAGATAAGAAATAGAGCCTCTGAAAGGCTGTGTCCCCCCAGAATCCGAACCGGCAGCAGTGAGGCAAAGCCATCAAACCAAATCTCTCCCCGACATGGCCCCAGAGGGGCGGCTGTCTTCCTCGTCACAAGCCTATGAGGCAGGTCTTCCCTTTGGGCTGGAGAAGGTGTGTGTCTAGTTCACCTCCCCAAGAAGTCCATGCTGTCTCAATAGCTTGTTAAGTCTCTCAATTTCTTGTTCCTGTTATTACAAAAGCAGACAAATAACCGAATTTACCTTCTGAGCCTCACCAGGCATGTGGCAGTCATGCAGTGAGCCCCAGGCACATACTGGGTCACAGAGCTGAATGAAAACCACACTCCTCAAGGAAATCACTCAGTCAGGGCCCAACAGTGACAGCAGTGAGGAGAGACACTAAGGGAGGGGGTTCCTGGCGAAGCTGCAGGTGAGGAGGCAGTGCCTGAGCTGAATCTGAAAGGACAAGGAAGGCCTGACCGAGGGAAGGGGGCTCTGGGCTAACGGCCCCATGAGAGCCGAGGCCTGGCTGGGAGGGAACAATCTGTAAACAGAGGGTGTTTTCCCAAGCACCTTCTTACCTTCTCAGAGCAGCTGAATTCAAGGTGCTGGATCTTGGTGGCCAGTTGTATGTTTATCTGTTTTAACCTTAACAGTTGCCGTTCTGAACGTGTCTTAACCGAGATAATTATCCCTGAAAAATAATGGTGAGGGTCTCTATGATACCAATTTCTGATTTAACCACTTGGAAAAAAACTCTGCATTCCTTATAAATGTATACAGTTGGGAAGAGCAGTGAGAAATAAAACAATCATCATGGCTTAAAGGCATCATAACTAGGAGGATCAGGTTTTTCATTTCTGAGCTGCTCAGTACCCAGCTGAGACGTACTTCTTCGGCTTGCCTGGTGTGAGAAATCCTTAAAAATAATCACTGACCAGATGAGGGTTAAGCTCCTTAAGGGACCTTGTTCATAAACGTTCTGTTACTTAGCAGCACTAAGTACAAGTCTGGAAATGCTCAAGCTTGGGGTTGTCACTCTCCCCACTTTCTGCCTCCAGAGCTGTGGCCAGTTTAGTTGTCAGGCACTAACCTGAACCCTGGCTGGGGCAGGGCTCCCCGATGCCCACACCGCAGGGGGGACAGGGCTCCCTGATGCCACCACAGGGGGGGATGAGGCCTCAAAGCCTGTGCTGCAGTGGGGCTATTCTGCCCCCTTCCAAGTGTGAGTGACTGAGTTTGGACCGTCACCCACGTGTGTGGTGCCTACTAGGCCTGGAAGAAGCCATTCCTGGTTCACAGTGTTCCTGGCTGTCCCACTGAGTCTGGTTTAGCCTATGTTCAGTCACGCTGAAATCTGATAGCAGTGTAATAATGGGCAGTAGCCAGTCCTCCTACGCCTCGCAGCCATTTTTTTTTTTTTTTTTTTTAGACAGAATGAACACTTCTCACAACAGTGTGATGTGAAGAGTACTGGGTAGTAGCTGGTTCATGAGTCATTTATAGTCTGTCACAGTCTAGCTACCTCACATAACCTTTGCACAGAGTTATGTTTCTGTCCGAAAAAAATCAGTCGGCATAAGCATCTTCCACGTTATCTGAATAGCTTCCTTTATTTCCTTCGACAGAACCCAAATAAATGTTCTTAATAGGCTTTACTCTAAATCACTAGATCTGAATTGGCAGGTTCCAAAGCCCGTGTGCCCGACAGAGCCGCTGCACAGGCCCTTACCCTGCCGGGCGGTACCCAACAAAGGAGGCGCCTTGGGACTCACTGCGCCTGGCAGGGGACGGGCCTGCCTCCAGCAGGCCTCACTGTTGCTCACTTGGTCTCCTGACAACCACCCACAGCCCGTCGGCTTGGGCCCTAGTCTAGGGATTCCCAAACCTGCTGGACACTGATCACCTGGGAGTGCTTCGTGAACAGACACCCGGCCTGGGCTCCTCTGCACCAGACTTGCCACTTAGAGCGCTGAGGGTGATTCTGACGCGGCAGGTCCACAGACAGGCGTTCACTGACGGCTGAACCACTGACCAGTCGCTCAGTCCACATAAAATCGCAACGCAAACAGCTTCTCTGAAACAGAGGCTCCCCACACCCGCAGGGAGTGTGTGCGGAACAGGACCTGTGCCTAAAGTCCGGGAAAGCGGCGTTTCCCCCCGCGAGTTCTCCAGAGCCAGAGTCTACAGCAGGCTGTGACAGGTGTTATTTCCTCCCAAAGTGTCAGCTTGGAAAACATCGGCCGTTCTCAGAGCCTTCATCGTGCTCACTCGTGTTGTGATTTTCTGCAAGCTGGCAGAATCTAATGCATAGTGTTTCTCAGCTTCCTTGCTCCCCTCCCTGACGGTGTCCCTCCCAGCGTGGGACGGGATTTGATAAAACACTCTTCAGGAAACACCTCGTGAGAAACAAAAGTACTTTGGGAACAGATCAGGGATTGGTCTATAACCCTTTCTACTAACATCTTTCATTAATCATGAAAATAGAGCCTAAAGGAGAAGGGCCCTTCCTCTCAGGGCACATGTCCTGGTGTCAATTTGTAACTACAGGTGGCAGTGGGACACCAAAGCAGACCACTTCATGTTTCTCTTGGCTACCAGGAGAAGGACCGGGGGCTCTGTGCCCCTTCCAGGCTCTATGCACTGTCCCACCCCCAAACCCCCAACCCCAGCGCCCCCGCTCAGGAGCGCAGGGGACATACCATTGATGATCCGGGCCACCCGCCACAGCCGGAGCAGGATCAGCAGTCCTAGAGCCTCGAACTCATGCTCCCGGAACAGGAGGACGATGTCAAGGATGAAGGAAATCACCACCACGATGGCGTCCAGGATTTCAAACTTGTGGTGAAAGAACTCCAAGCGGAAGACAAATATCTTAAAGAAAATCTCCATCATAAAAAAGGTCAGGATGGCAAGGCTCATGTAGTGGAACACCTGAAGGGGAAAGGAGACACATGAGAGTGGTTCATGTGGCTGAGGTGGTTCACACGGATGAGCCAGCTTTGAATGTATCTGCCCAGTCACCAGAGAGAATCCATTCCCTTGACCGATCCCACATTTCTGCCAGCACCAGGCAGTGGTTTCGGGCTCTGACTGTAGCTGGGAACATCATAGACATTGCTCTCTGAAGGGCAAATGGGGCAGTGGCAGAACTGAAAACATCCACCATGCCCTTTGGCCCAGCAGCTCCACTGCTAGGAATTTATCATACAGCTAAGTTCACATGTGCACAAAGACAGTAAGGATATTTACTGCAGCACCATTTGCAGAACAGACGATTTTCTACATTATTTTTAGAACAATAGAAATGTTCATTAGACTAGGGTCCTTTTAAAAGCATTACAATAATAAAAATAAATGGAAAAAAAAATTTTTTTTAAGCATTACGGTACCTTCCCGTGGAGTACTACACAGTTGTTCAAAAGACCAAGGCTGATCCATAAGTATTTACTAGAAATGATCACCAAGGTGGATGATAAGTGAAGAGAGTTCCCAGATCTAGATTTATAAATACTAGTCATCACTAAAGGAACCATTTCCATTCTGGGGCAGGGAAAGTGTGAAGAGAGCTGAGACATCATCCTGGCCCAGAAAGCAAGAAATACTCAAAGCCAAGAGTCTTGTCAAAAGGACAGAGCAGTCAGCTCAAAGAGGCTCACAGGGACCAAATCTGGGACCATTTAAAACTGAACACTGAAAAGAAAGACTGTGTTCTTGTGATACACGCTAAGAAAGGCAATGCCAAAGAATGCTCAAACTATCACACAACTGCACTCATTTCACATGCTAGTAATGCTCAAAATTCTCCAAGCCAGGCTTCAACAGTACGTGAACCGTGAACTTCCAGATGTTCAAGCTGGATTTAAAAAAGGCAGAGGAACCAGAGATCAAATTGCCAACATCCGATGGATTATCGAAAAAGCAAGAGAGTTCCAGAAAAACATCTACTTCTGCTTTATTGACTATGCTAAAGCCTTTGACTGTGTGGATCACAACAAACTGGAAAATTCTTAAAGCGATGGTTATATGAAACCACCTGACCTGCGTCCTCAGAAATCTGTATTCAGGTCAAGAAGCAACAGTTAGAACCCGACATGGAACAACAGACTGGTTCCAAATCGAGAAAAGAGTACGTCAAGGCTGTATTTTGTCACCCTGCTTATTTAACTTATATGCAGAGTACATCATGCAAAATGCTGAGCTGGATAAAGCACAAGCTGGATCAAGATTGCTGGGAGAAATATCAACAACCTCAGATATGCAGATGACACCACCCTTACAGCAGAAAGCGAAGAACTAAAGAGCCTCTTGATGAAAGTGAAAGAGGAGAGTGAAAAAGTTGGCTTAAAACTCAACATTCAGAAAACTAAGATCATGGCATCTGGTCCCATCACTTCATGGCAAATAGATGGGGAAACAATGGAAACAGTGGCAGACTTTATTTTGGGGGGCTCCAAAATCACTGCAGATGGTGATTGCAGCCATGAAATTAAAAGACGCTTGCTCCTTGGAAGAAAAGCTATGACCAACCTAGACAGCATATTAAAAAGCAGAGACATTACTTTGCCAAAGGTCCGTCTAGTCAGAGCTATGGTTTTTCCAGTAGTCATGTATGGATATGAGAGTTGGACTATAAAGAAAGCTGAGCGCCGAAGAATTGATGCTTTTGAACTGTGGTGTTGCAGAAGACTCTCTGAGAGTCTCTTGGACTGCAAGGAGATCCAACCAGTCCATCCTAAGGAGATCAGTCCTGAGTATTCATTGGAAGGACTGATGCTGAAGCTGAAACTCTAATATTTTGGCCACCAGATGCAAAGAGCTGACTTCATTTGAAAAGGCCCTGATGCTGGCTGGGAAAGATTGAAGGCAGGAGCAGAAGGGGGCGACAGAAGATGAGATGGTTGGATGGTATCACTGGCTCAACAGACATGAGTTTGAGTAAGCTCTGGGAGTTGGTGATGGACAGGAAAGCCTGGTGTGCTGCAGTCCATGGGGTCACAGAGAGTCTGACACAACGGAGCAACTGAACTGAACTGATAAAATGATACTGCCTAGTCGATGTAGAAGGAAAGGCAGAATTAGAAATCACTGATTTGCAAGCCAGTGTGTTCACAGACTCATACAATGATCATCGATGGATGCTAACTGGGGAAGAAGTTTGTATGATATTCAAGTGTCACCATGTGGATTATTTACAACTGCAAAGGGAAAAGTGTCCCTGGACAGTGGAACAGCTCAGCATTTACAACCTGAATCAAGTGATCCAGCAGACTAATAGCGGGTCCCTGGCCCAAGGTGCCATGACATTTAAAAATAAATAAAAAATAGCCTACCCTTGAAGAACTCTTGCTTTTTGAGCCTCTTGACCTAACTTGTGTTGTACAGGAAACAGAATAAAGCAACAGGGTGGCTCAGATGGTAAAGAGTCCACCTGCAATGCGGGAGACCTGGGTTTGATCCCTGGGTTGGGAAGATCCCCTGGAGAAGGGAAAGGCTACTCACTCCAGTATTCTGGCCTGGAGAATTCCATGGACTGTATTGTCCTTGGGGCACAAAGAGTTGGACACAACTGAGTGACTTTAAAGGAGCTCAAATATAATATCAGAAATCTAATTTGGAAAAAAAATGCACTATGAAGAAATTTGAATGAAAACTGGTTATTAGATACTATGGAATTATAACTTTTTTAAGTGTAATAATGCTATTATGGTTCTACAGGGGAAAAACCTCATTCTTAGGCATTGTTGAAGTACTCAGGGATGAAGTGTCACAACGTCTAACTTTCAAATGGTCAAAAATATATGAGCATGTTTGTGTGTATGTATATAAAGAAAGCAAATACAGAAAACTGTATATTTGCCATTTTTCATAATAAAAAGTAAAGAAAAAAGGCACAAGACAGTGAACATAGGTGGTAAGTTACTGATTCTATTAAACAGTAGAGCGAGAGAAAAGATTATCCATCTACTAGAGGACTCAAGTGTCACAGAAGAGAACATTAACGGCTGCCTTGGTCAAAGGGGCCATGAGTAGGAAGGAGGTTTAATGTTTTCCTCCTGTCCTTTTGCCAGTTGAAAAGACAGATGCACAGTCCACTGAATTTTTTTTCAAAGGGTGTGGTGAAATGTTTTTAAGCCCCTGGCCTTCTCCCAGTTACTGGTGATAGGGTCACAGGGTGCATTTCCAGTGCACCCACTGCCCTCTGGATGACTGTTTGGGATGGGCCAGGCAGTAACTGTGAATAAGGGACTGAATGGTGGGCGCGTCCCCCCAGTGGCTCCAGCACAGGGACCACATCAGCATGATGATAGGAGGACAAACAGCCTGTCCTCCTCTGGGGAATGGGAAGGAATCCTCCTGGCTTGAGAAGCAGTGACAGACTCCAGCTCTGTCTTGGACAGCTCAAGATGCAAGCCTGCAAGCCATCAAGTGATCTGAGGTCTCCTGCTTGTAGGGAACTCATATCTACAGCTGGGAAAGGAAGACATGTGCTCTGCTCTTTGACTGAAAGCACCCCATCAAACTACTCTCAGAGAAGCCCTGGGTGATTCTCTGTGGGTGCTGCTCCCTCCGCCCACCCTCAGTGCAGGTAACAAGAGTGAACCATGTTAAAGGGCTGTGGACACACTACCCTGGGGGCATAGTTATTCTTGTCGGGCTGGATGATCCTCAGGTCCAGAACGAGCTCGGCAAGCACCAGGAGGGCGTCCAGGACGACCAGGCAGATGATGATAACCTGTGGACCGAGGGAAGAAGCAAGAAACCATGAGACCTAAACAGGGACCTTCCTTCCATCTCTAAGGGCTGTTAACACCTGGATGTCAAGGATTGGAGGCCAGTTGCCCACAGCAGCTCCAGCGCCTTGCAGGAGGCCTGCTGGGGGCCGGCTCCTCTCACAGGAGCCCCTCCTTCCAGCCTGGCGCCGTGCCTGTCCTAAAGCCTCCGTGCAGCTCACTGACTGACCCTCGGTCACCACTGGTCTTTCTCTTAACTCGGAAGTTCACTGCTTCTTAGCATCTCTCAAACCAAACTGCTAATTCCTAGATGGCAAAAAATAAGTAGTAATGTTTTTTAAAGCTTTTGTGTTTCTAGTTCTGGGAACTGCTGCTTGCCAGGGTACACCCAGAACAGAGGCACAATAAATAAAACATCCAGTCTCAGAGAGCTAAGTCACAGGAGGATCTCTAGTGATGCCTCCTCCAGGCAGCTGGTTTAGGGTGACGTCCACTGTGCCCGTCGAACAACTTCAGACTAGAGACCTGAGGTGCCTGCCCCAACCCCCATGTGCTCACTGCGGGGGGAGGGTGGAGTTCGTTCTGGGTGTCCTGGGAAACAGAGAGGAGCTGAGGGAAAGACAATCTCGTGGGTTTTGTGACCTGCTGGAGCGGGAGCTGGTGGGGGAGGGACTAGGGTGAAGTAAGTGGGTGGTCTCACCGATGGCGGTGGGGGTGGTCATGGTGATGAAAGTGGGGATGATGGTGAATTGGACAGTAAAGGTGGGGTGGAGGTGATGGCATTTGGGGAGACCACAGGGATGATGTGGGAGTGGTGGAAATGGCAGCAACAGGAGGAACCCCAGGTGGGGGGGGTTCCTCTTTTTTCCCTTGACCCTGTGTGACCTCTTCTTCCCTTGAACATACTGGACTGTCACTTACTTCCCTGGGGGCCTTGCCTCTTACACTGTCAGGCAGATAGATCTTGACCTCTGAGAATTAATCTGCCGTTATCTTGGCAGTTTCTGCAGTTTCAGATTGCAATTGAACCAGTTCAGGCCTATAAAGAATGAGCTATTAAACCTTTTGACCATTTCGATCTGTAACAATTATGTCACTAATTAAAGTATTTGATGACATGGTTTATTGTTGAAAATTGTATGGCAAAGTGCTCTGTAATGAAATATTCACACAAATCTGAATTCAGTAGCTTAATGAAGACTCAAGCCTCAGACAGCCTCTTTCCTTCTTTCCTCCCTCCCTCCCTCGTTGGTTTCATGTTGGAGCTAAAGGGATCTAAGAGCTTGTCTGGTTTAGAACCAAGGCACAGAGATATTAAAAACAGACTGGATATTCAGTCATAAAAAGGAATGAAGCACTGATGTATGCTACAGTGTGGATGAACCTAGAAAACATTATGCTAAGTGAGAGAAGCCAAACACAAACGGTCACACACATTGTAGGATTCCATTTACGTGAAATGTCCGGTATAGGCAAAAAGTAGGTTAGGGTTTGTCGGGGACTGGGGGTTACTGTTTAATGGGTACTAGATCTCTTTGGGGGCGATGGAAGTGTTCTGGAACTAGATAGTGGTGATGGCTGCACAACATCATTGTACTAAATAAATGCCACTGAATTACCCACTTTAAAATGATTAATTTGATCATAAAATGATTTAATTAATTAATTAATTTTAATTTCACCTCAGTTTTAAAAAGTGATCGAGAGACAGACCCAGGGTCACAAAACTACAGTGCCTGGGTCCCAACCCTGGCCTCTATGAACTGACTGACTCCTAAGGTTCTGAATCCACCAGTTCACAAGGCAGGACTAGTTCTGAGGGGAGTCACATCACAAGGAAAAACGCTGAGAATGCAGGGAAGTGGGTTAATTCCAAATCCTCATTGGAAGACAGCCATCCCTAGCAGCGGCACCCAGAGGGGCAGGGTGTAGCGGGCTGTGGGGCGGCCAGTCCTGGGCCGGCTCCCCTGTTAGCCTGGACCTTGGGCACAGCTCTCAGCTCTGCTGTGCCTTGGCGTTAGCTCTAACAAGCTTCAGTGTCCTTGCGGGGGAGACGGGACTTGGCTGCATTTTCCACCCCGACTGACAATGGCAGCATCGAGTGAGATCAAGTGTGATGTGCGCTCAGCAGACGGCCTGGCCACGGTCAGCAGGTGATAAAAGTGAGGCTCCTCCTGGCCTTCCTGGCCATGCTCCCCTGCCTGTCTGTGGCTACCACGGAGGCCTGACTCACCCCAAGTTCTCTCCTTTGGTTGGTTGGGCCATCCTGTGAGAAGTGACAACAGTCAACTATATAAGTCACCTTGGTCACCTCAGACCATGGGAACAAGTGGAGACTGCACCTGAGAGGGGATTCCAGAATCTTCTTGTACATGGATTCTATCTGCAGAGATCAAACCCGTGAACCCTTACTCCCTACCCTGAGGTAGCCTCCCTGTTTCCACTCTAGGCCCCTCTACAAACTGCTCATGTCGCTGCCTCCCCACCGCACACTCGGGACTCTCTGATAGATGCCCACTGCCAGTGGGTGGACTTCCAGTGCCTTCTTTCCCACTACTGGATACACACAAGCCCTGTGGACCCTTCTCAATTCCTCCAATGCTGAAGACTCTTTCCTCCCTCGGGCCCTTTGCAAACACGCCCCCTCTCTGCCTGGGAAGCTCCTCCCTTCCCACCCACAGACCTCACTCCTGCCCAGCCTCGTGGTGTTAGGTGAAGTATCACCTGCTCTGCCTCACATCCTCAACCAGGTCTCCCCCACCCCGAGGATCTCTCAAAGCCACTTCTCCTCTTTGTTTCCCTGCAGAAGGCTTCTCTCCACTTGTATCCAGTATCTGTCTGATTTCTGGAATGCCCGCCTCTCCACGGAGCATCCATCCTCTGCAAGTGAGGGCAGGGATGTGTCCACCACGCTCACTGCCGTGACCCCGGTGATAGCAGAAGCTAAGATTCATGACTGTTGAGTAAATGAATAAACACCTCTCCTCCGCTCTTCCCCAGAGCCACGTGGCCTGGGGGGGGCCCAGTCAGGAGAGGGGACCTCCCCAGGGCTCCCCTTGCAGCTGGGAGGAAGCTGGCTCCTTCTTTCTGCTCCTGAAATTGAGGGTTTGGGATTTCAACCCCAACAACATAATACCACGTTTCCTCTTCTGTCAGAGCTACAGAGGAAAGCGCTGAGCTGACAGGAGTGCTGGGTTGCCTGCTTTGTTTCTGTAAGTCACATGAGAGTGAAAAAAAAAAAAAGACCAAAATAATTCCTTCTCTTTTACCCTGGAGCAAAGTCAGTGATGGGAGAGGCAAGGGCTGCTTCTCTCTACTTCCAGAAGGGACACCATCTCCAGGGAGGAGCTGGGTTATCATGGTTGAAGAGGGGTAACCTGCAGCAGGGGCCCCCAAAGAGTTCCATTCAGGGACTGGGCTGACAAGGAGCCTCCCGCTTTCTGCTGGGTCTCAGAACATGCTTCCAGACACCTGCTCACCCACGCTGGGGTGGCGGGATGGGGTTCAGACAGGGCTGGCCAGACTCCACTCACGTTGGAACTGACACTGAACCCTGTAGGAAGTCCTATTCCTTCTGCTACTCTTTGAAGTCTGCGTCTCCCTCTCAGGGTCTCCCCATAACCACACCTGGAGATTGGTGGTGGGCTGGTTACTCCAGGCAGATATTTTCAGCATCACTTCACAAGAGACTACCCCCCTCAATTTATCCTTTCATTTCCTTTGTGTGTGTAGGGGGTAAATTTTGCATAACTTAACATTTAACATTCCAAAACTTAACATTTTTACTCCTTTAAGGTTGGCATAAAGTTCAGAGGCCTTAAGCACATTCACAAGGTTGTTCAACCATCACTGGTATCTAGTTCTAGAACATTTTCGTCACCTCAACCAGAAACTACATCCATTGCGCAGTCACTCCCCCTTCCATTCCCTCTATTCTGCTGTCTCTGTGGATGTATGTATTCGAGACATTCCACATAAATGGGATTACAAGACATGTGGCCTTCTGGGTCTAGCTTCCACTTAGGATCATGTTGTCAAGGGGCATCCACACTATAGCATGTGTCAGTGCTCCATTCCTGTCTACAGCTGAGTAGGGGTGAATCAGTTTTGTTTAATGTATTCATCAGGTGGTGAATTTTTAATTGACTTTTGGATTAGGACTTACCCTGCCCCTGACAATAGGGGACCTGCCCTGCACATTATCGGTCGATCGGCGCTGGGTAGATATCTGCGGACTGAAGGAACTGGTGACAGAGATGGGGCCCCCACCTGACCTCGTGACTTTGGGCTGATGGCTCTGCCCCACCCAAGGCATTTTGGGCCTCTGCCCACCTACCTGAAACCTGTGGGCGCTGAAGAGCTTCCTCAAAGTGGTCCTGAAGTCTAGGCGGGGCCTGGGCACAGGGGCCGGGGCCGGGGTGGGGTCAGTGGCTCTGCCCTCCTCGCCGGCCGAGGCAGCAGTGGGCGGCGGCTGCTCTTCTTCTTCCTCCTCCTCCTCATTCTCCCATTTCTTGTAGTTGATGTTCCAGGCATGGTAGTCGTCCCCGACGACGGTGAAGTGTTTCAAGAACTTGCTCATCCTCTCGGCGGGAGCCACCCTGGCCCTGCGTGTGACTGCCTGAAGAAAGGGGGACAGAGAACGAGCGTTCAGGCAGCCTGTCCGTCAGTCTCCGGGGGAGCAGAGCCCCCTAGGCCGGGCCCAGGGTGAAGAGCACCGTGCGAGCGCAGACCGTGAGGTCACAGTGGTTTTTCGTGTATTTATTTTTGGAATCCAGGGTCTCAGCGCTGGCGAGGCAACAGGAAACCCCAGACTCCGTCAGGCCTGCCACTGTGGTCTGGTTGGCAGTAACCAACAGGAGAGGTACTACTCCCGCCCAGTCACAAAACACCCACCACGGGCCGCGTGTAAATACCGGAAGACCCAATAGCAGCGCCTGGTTCAGAGACCTCCCAAACGAAAAACCCAGAGGTGAGAGTTGGTAGGGGAGGGAGAGGGCAAAGGCAGAAGTAAAAGTGCCCAAAGTTTCACACAAAAGCGAAGCCACCCTCGCCACCAATCTGTCCTAGAAAGGTCTGGGCAGCAAGTGGATTTTTCCTAAGTTCAGCCAGTGCTGTTTTAAATAATTATAGACAGTTGTTTAAAGACCAATGACTTCAAAGTAAAAAAGCAAATAAGCTTTACTTATTTACTCCTTTACCCAACTTACCCTCCCAGACATCAATTTTTTTCTAAAGTTCAATAATGAAAACTTTCAAGTATGGTTAAGAGAAGAGGCAATATGATCAGCATAACAGGAAAAGAGAGCCCCAAACAGACCCAGGTCACTGTGAGAACCTGGATGTGATGGCAATGGCAGTCCAGATCAGTGAGAAAACACTGGAGAAGTTAGGACACTTGGCTTTTCCAACAAGGGGGGAAAAAAATCCTACCTCACACCAAACAGAGAATAAATTTCACTTGTATTAATCTATATAAATGCATTTAAAAGAACTTTAAAAGTCTAAAAACAAAATACAGACAAGTATCTTTATGACCTCAGTACTGTGAAGGATTGCTTAAATAAGACAAAAAACACAAAATAAATCAATAGACCTGACTCACCAAAGCTAAAAATGTTTGTCTCTCACACACATACACAACCTGTATAAAGTAAGACACATTACAGACTGGGAGTAAATATTTGCAATGCATTTAATAGACAAAGATTCTAGCATCCAGAATATAGAAAGAAATCTTACCCAAAAAAGACAACTCCACGGAAAACTAGTTAATGGATATTACCAGTCAGGTCACATGAGAGGAAACCCAGATAGCCAAGACACTCAACTTCTCTAATATTTGGGAAAAGGTGAATTGAAGTAACAATCACACACCTTTTCATTCCTCAGATTGGCAAGAATTTTAAAATCTACAATAGCAAACAGTGAATGTGTGAAGCAATGGGGGTCTCCTGAACCCTGAAGGTAGGAACAGACACTGGCACCACTATTTTTCCAAGCAATCTGGTATTGTTTTGTCAAGTTGAAATTATACTAGTTAATGATCTAGTAATCCCACCCCGAGATAGGTTTCAAAGAGAAACTCGCCCACATGTACTCAAATCAGTGACATGTTCAAGAACGTTCACTGCAAACGTTCACCTAAATGGTAGGAGATAGAGAAGTGAATTTTCTCTGTTCATGTGATGGAATTTTATACAGCAGTTAAAATGAAGAACCATGTCTCTGTGCATCACTGATGACATCCGTGTGTACCTCAGCAGTAATGAACACAGAAAGATCACTCCCTTTCTTCAAAAGCTTCCTTCACTGGCTTCTCAAATTCCACTTTCTGAGTCCTACCAAATACTACCATGTATTGTTTTTGGAATGTGTGAAAATGTGAGCATAAACATACAAAAGAATGAGACTTCTGTTTCTGACCAATGACACAGTAACTGGTATAAACAACTACACCAGTTAGAGTACCTGCCATAAGACTAGATAAGATATAACTCTAAACCTGGGTAAAATGTATGAAATTTACTATGATCCTTGAGAGAAGAGAAACAAATAAGATGAGCCCCACAATCACTCTAGCTTTCTGCCTGGAGGTACTTTTTGGACTGTGGAGACAAAGATTATAGTTCAGGGTTATTGAACTTTACTTCCTCAGGAATTTGCATGGCAAGGTATCAGAGAAAAGGAAGCAGTGCAGAGAGAAAACGCTCCAAGTATTGGACTTAGGTTGAGTCCTAAACTTCACATGTGCAGAGCAAGACTCCATGAAACAGGGCAAAATATAACTTTCAGGGGAAAACAAAACATAAAAAAACTCTTAGGGAACTGTGAGCTGAACAACTACCAGAGATTTACATAGGTCTGGGTTGGGAGATCTGTGAGTTCCAAACAGTGAGAGTAGAGAGATCTTGTTGAATACTCTTGAGTATTCAGTAGAAATTCCAGAAAAGCCATGCCTTATATGTAGACCTAATCTAGCCCTCCAGTCAGGGCTACCTTAGACCTGTCCCAACTAAGCTTAAAAATAAGACTTTTAAAAAGATCATGCTTATCTCTAAGTAAATTAACTGCCTCTTGGAACAAAACTCAGTACTCTATTGAAGAAGACAGCAAAATACTCTCAACAACATAACATTCATAATGTCCAACATACAATAAAATATTACCAGACAGATAAATAAGCAGGAAAATGTGGTCATAAACCAATAAAACATCAGCTTATTAGCTCAAAAGGGATGGAGATAATGAAATTGGCCAACAAAGATTTGAAAATAGTTAATTATAAATATGTTCAAGGATTTCAAGGAAAACATGAACTTAATGAGGGAACAAATGGAGAATCTCAAGAGAAAAATGGAAACTATAAAAAAATCCAAATGGATACTCTCGAATTGAAAAACACATATATGAAATGAAAAATCACTGGATGGGCTTAATAGCTGATTAGATGCTGCAGAAGAAAAGATCAGGGAACTTAAAGATAAAAAACTGAAACTACCCAGTGGAAGCAAGAAGAGAAAAAAGGCTAGGGCTAAAAAAAAAAAAAGAACAGAGCTTCAGGGACATTAAGTTCTTAATATACATGTACCTGGAGTACCAAAAAAAGAAGAGAGGGAAAAATTTGGAGAAATAACACCTGGAAAAAATCTCCAAATTTAATGGAAAAATACAAACATATAGGTCCAAGATTCTGAGTCCCTAGAGTACCACGTGACACCTGACCTAGCACAGAAACCCATCAAGTGCCTGTTGGTGGAGGGCCCTGGTGCCTCCAATTGCTGGGTTCTGAAGGTTGGCCAAGGACCAGGCCCACAGCCAACCTGAATCTTTCTGGGTGGTTAGTGGCCATGATCCGCTCCACCAAAACACTTCATCTGGCAGATAGAAACCTCTTGCACTAATTCTCAGCATGGTGGGAACCTCAGGGTGTGCCACAAAAACCATATTCATATTTTATACAGAAAACTTTTTTGAAACTTTGCATCCAGTAAAGAAACAACTTTCAGTAATTTGGAATGAAAATATGGCACCCAGCAGAGCAGAAAACAACTCTAGTTTTAAGTCAAAAATTCGTCATGCCAGAAGCAGCAAAATTCCAGAAAAGACAAAGATCATGAAAACATTGTGAGCCTCGGCAGCTTCACCACCCACCCTGGACTCTCCGCTCTCGGCATCCGCGCCACCACCCCCCCCCGCCCCCACCTTGCCCAGGCAGATGGAAAGACCGACTCAGCGAGTTGCCAGGACCACCAGCCTTAGTGCCTGGCCAGAAGCAGACCCTCTGTAAGCACCCGCTGGTATTATTATTCCTAAATAACAAACACTCTCACCTCCACTCCTCCGACTTCTTCATCACCTGTGGATATCTCAGTTCACTGGTTACTGGGCCCAAACTGTCTGCCTCTGCAACCCCATGTGTTTAGTTATATGGACTGAAAGAGTCCTTTCCTGGCTGAAGCCAGATTTAGTTGCTTCTATCATGTGCAATCTGGAGAATCTAGCCTAGTGGAGGCCCTGGCACTGAACTGTCCCCACTGCTCCTGCATTAACCCTTGCCGTCCCAGTATATTCTGGCCCTGCTCTCTCTGGGGTCACTGTTCTGTATCAAAGCCCACGACTGTGGTTCCCACCTGGACTGGGCTGTATCCTCTCACAGTGTGGACTTGGTTCTGTTTGACAATCTTGCCTCCTCTTGATTCTTCTCCCATCTCTGGCTGCTCTTCCCATACCACATCCCTGCCCCCACACCACCGCAAGTCCTTGAGTCCCTGACCCTGAGCTTGCCCTGGCACAGGGCCACTCCCCACTTTAGTGGTCTCTGCACATCTGTGTTCTCGAGGCTGCTCAGGTGCCAATCAGTCTCCAGCCTGCCATCTGATATCCTGCCAGGTCATTAGTCTGCTGTGATCCAAACTGAACTAATTTCTTTTCTTTCCCCCCAAATCCACTTCTCCTTCCACACTGGCCTAGGTCATGGAGTCACATCCACCCTGCCGGTCAAGTCCAGAACTGAAGATCACTCTTGGCTCCGATCTCTCCATTAGGCCTGTCACTCTAACCTCCTGAACACCATTCCTGCTGCACCTTCTCTTCATCTCTCTCCTATCACTCTCGCCTATTTTGGGGACACTTGCACCAACCTCCTGACTCGGCCTCTTAGCTCTGACCCTTTCTCCATCCAGTGGTGGCCAGGGTCACCTTTCTCCAATGCTGGGCTGGCTGTGTCCCTGCCCTTGCCTATCTCCCTCCCCCGCTTCCCATTACTTTCAGTCCCTCACCCCCTCACCCTCACCCCCTGTCAACTGCTGCCTTCAGGACAAGGTCAAAGATCTCATGGTCCCTTCCCCAGCCTCCACCACATTCCAGTTACACTAAATGCACTGTGGTTCTGGAATAAACCACTCTCTCTTGCTTCCAGTACTTCACATGACCTGCGCGCCCCACTACCCCCACCCCGCCTGGAATACCCCCCATCTGCCTCACCCTAGTTCTTTTTCAGGTCTTACAGAATCAATTTTACCTCCCTTGGGAGGCCTTCCTTAACTGCCACACGTTGGGTGAGGGTCCTTCCTCTACTTCCCCATCAAGCCACTAATGAACACTGTGACATCTCAAGGT